TAAACTCATTAAGCGCCGTGGGTTCGCTTGCCAATTCCTAGATTGTTTTCTAGGGTTGTAACCACGCCACGCAAGTGCTCAGGTAGGATGGGCTTCATTGCGCTAGCCAATCAGCTATCAGATATAGATTAATACTTTTGGTATTGATTACTTGTTGGAAGTGCCAGCGGGAGCCGAATGCGTCACACGCCTTAGTATACAAATCATTTATTATTGTTCTATTCTTCATTTCAGTATACAAATCATTTATTTTTGTTTTATTCTTCATTTGAGTATACATTTAGTGGGTGTCTAATTTTTGGTCACAGAATACGTGATTATGTGGAAGGGCAAAGACGTTCGTGGAATGACATCATCAGTCGTGAAATGACATCATCATCCGTGGAATGACATAAGCGTTTGTGGACTGGTGCAAACTTCTGGAAAAACTAACGCAATGTGTTTCCACAAATACTTTTTCATTCTTGAATTTGCATTAATCACACTAAGCAAACTACAATGCTACAACGCTTTCGTCCTTCGATTTCAACAAAACCAGTACCTGATACGTTTCACTTTCATCTTTCCGGCCGTAATAGTGGTCGCTCTGCATGGCCAGACCAGCGGACTCCGTAAATCCAGCAACGTAGCTACTGTGTCGGGTGTTTCGCCAAAATCCGTCTTGCTGAGACGCGAACTTATCGCGAATCAGGGTCAGAAATATTTGCAGCAAGACAACTGTCCCCCTGGATGTGTATATTGTTTGGGAGACAGCTTCATGGATCAATACGCATGACTCAATGGAAAGTGTGTTTAGTCATCGAGCATCCCTCTCGTGTGGCCACACTTCAGCCGATTACGCCAGAGTATGGACCATTTTGTGAACCGATATACGTAGCTGGAAAGAATGATATTTGTATCTAACTACCCTTGTAGCCGAGCTACTGTAGCTATAATGCAGTGCAGCTACATGCTAGTCGTATTTGACTATAGATAAAGTAATTGTTCATTCATCTGTAAATAAATGATAACATAAATGCCTCTATAACTACATCAGCTACATAATTACACGAAAAGCGCGAACTGTAACTAAACTCATTAAGCGCCGTGGGTTCGCTTGCCAATTCCTAGATTGTTTTCTAGGGTTGTAACCACGCCACGCAAGTGCTCAGGTAGGATGGGCTTCATTGCGCTAGCCAATCAGCTATCAGATATAGATTAATACTTTTGGTATTGATTACTTGTTGGAAGTGCCAGGGGCTGCACTGCATTATAGCTACAGTAGCTCGGCTACAAGGGTAGTTAGATACAAATATCATTCTTTCCAGCTACGTATATCGGTTCACAAAATGGTCCATACTCTGGCGTAATCGGCTGAAGTGTGGCCACACGAGAGGGATGCTCGATGACTAAACACACTTTCCATTGAGTCATGCGTATTGATCCATGAAGCTGTCTCCCAAACAATATACACATCCAGGGGGACAGTTGTCTTGCTGCAAATATTTCTGACCCTGATTCGCGATAAGTTCGCGTCTCAGCAAGACGGATTTTGGCGAAACACCCGACACAGTAGCTACGTTGCTGGATTTACGGAGTCCGCTGGTCTGGCCATGCAGAGCGACCACTATTACGGCCGGAAAGATGAAAGTGAAACGTATCAGGTACTGGTTTTGTTGAAATCGAAGGACGAAAGCGTTGTAGCATTGTAGTTTGCTTAGTGTGATTAATGCAAATTCAAGAATGAAAAAGTATTTGTGGAAACACATTGCGTTAGTTTTTCCAGAAGTTTGCACCAGTCCACAAACGCTTATGTCATTCCACGGATGATGATGTCATTTCACGACTGATGATGTCATTCCACGAACGTCTTTGCCCTTCCACATATCACGTATTCTGAGACCAAAAATTAGACACCCACTAAATGTATACTCAAATGAAGAATAAAACAAAAATAAATGATATGAATACCGAAATGAAGAATAAAACAAAAATTAATGATATGTATACTGAAATGAAGAATAGAACAATAATAAATGATTTGTATACTAAGGCGTGTGACGCATTCGGCTCCCGCTGGCACTTCCAACAAGTAATCAATACCAAAAGTATTAATCTATATCTGATAGCTGATTGGCTAGCGCAATGAAGCCCATCCTACCTGAGCACTTGCGTGGCGTGGTTACAACCCTAGAAAACAATCTAGGAATTGGCAAGCGAACCCACGGCGCTTAATGAGTTTAGTTACAGTTCGCGCTTTTCGTGTAATTATGTAGCTGATGTAGTTATAGAGGCATTTATGTTATCATTTATTTACAGATGAATGAACAATTACTTTATCTATAGTCAAATACGACTAGCATGTAGCTGCACTGCATTATAGCTACAGTAGCTCGGCTACAAGGGTAGTTAGATACAAATATCATTCTTTCCAGCTACGTATATCGGTTCACAAAATGGTCCATACTCTGGCGTAATCGGCTGAAGTGTGGCCACACGAGAGGGATGCTCGATGACTAAACACACTTTCCATTGAGTCATGCGTATTGATCCATGAAGCTGTCTCCCAAACAATATACACATCCAGGGGGACAGTTGTCTTGCTGCAAATATTTCTGACCCTGATTCGCGATAAGTTCGCGTCTCAGCAAGACGGATTTTGGCGAAACACCCGACACAGTAGCTACGTTGCTGGATTTACGGAGTCCGCTGGTCTGGCCATGCAGAGCGACCACTATTACGGCCGGAAAGATGAAAGTGAAACGTATCAGGTACTGGTTTTGTTGAAATCGAAGGACGAAAGCGTTGTAGCATTGTAGTTTGCTTAGTGTGATTAATGCAAATTCAAGAATGAAAAAGTATTTGTGGAAACACATTGCGTTAGTTTTTCCAGAAGTTTGCACCAGTCCACAAACGCTTATGTTATTCCACGGATGATGATGTCATTTCACGACTGATGACGTCATTCCACGAACGTCTTTGCCCTTCCACATATCACGTATTCTGTGACCAAAAATTAGACACCCACTAAATGTATACTCAAATGAAGAATAAAACAAAAATAAATGATATGAATACTGAAATGAAGAATAAAACAAAAATTAATGATATGTATACTGAAATGAAGAATAGAACAATAATAAATGATTTGTATACTAAGGCGTGTGACGCATTCGGCTCTCGCTGGCACTTCCAACAAGTAATCAATAACAAAAGTATTAATCTATATCTGATAGCTGATTGGCTAGCGCAATGAAGCCCATCCTACCTGAGCACTTGCGTGGCGTGGTTACAACCCTAGAAAACAATCTAGGAATTGGCAAGCGAACCCACGGCGCTTAATGAGTTTAGTTACAGTTCGCGCTTTTCGTGTAATTATGTAGCTGATGTAGTTATAGAGGCATTTATGTTATCATTTATTTACAGATGAATGAACAATTACTTTATCTATAGTCAAATACGACTAGCATGTAGCTGCACTACATTATAAACTTACCATATATAAATCTCATGAATCCTAGCTGTATCCTATAGATATATGCAGCACTTTCTATATTATACGTGCCGAATATGGAAGATGAGGATGTACTACTTATAGTGGCTCAGTACCGTCGTCAATGCTTTTTTTTGGTTACTGAGTGCCCATCTCAGAAGGATGATGGCGTTCGTGCGTAATCATGTGCACGTGATATAGATAAACAAATACTAAATCTACACGTCTTATTGGTCAAAATCAGCACCATGAGAGTAGACTTTCGATTTGTTCTTGTGGTAAACATCATGTTTGGTGGACAAGGATACGGAGGGTACCATGTACCATCAATATCACCCAATACCGGTTCAGCCATTAAAGGTCTGCGGAGTAATCGGGCGCTAGGGGCATACGGCGAAGCTTCAGGCACAAGTGGCCCGGGGTAAGCTGACCGCTATGACGCTCCGACGACAAGTGGAAATGGTCGGTTCTTCAATAGGGAGAGTCCCCGTTGCTACTTGTCCGCCATTCTGCGCTAAATGAGCCCTCGTTGACGACTCCGGAGCCCATCTCGTGGCCAAGCACGACAGCAGAAGCACGTCATGTAAGGGTTTACGTGACAGTCAAATGAATACACCGCGGCGTGGTTTAGGTGGATGAAGAGGGGGCATGCATCGCACAGTCAGATGAACGTTACACCACAAGATCGCGGGATCACCAATTCCAGTTGCGCTATCGATTACAAGCTGGGTTCATATTTTGCGCCTTTTCCTTGGCGACCTACCAATGTCTAGCGCCGAGTAGTGTGCTTTCTTTATGGCTAGAGACGAGCGCCTCGCAGTTTGTGGAAAGAGCCTGCATGGATCCTGCCTGCACCTGCAGGATTCCATCCCTCCGAGAGCGGGCGAGGATCATTTGTGGACGTGTACTCTGCAGTCCTCTTAGGGTACATTCTCGTGGACGACAACACGTGGATCTAAGGCCATGGACTCGCCAAGCTGAGGCCGAGACATCATCATTGTATACACTTCTTGCGTAGTATGGCAGCGTGTTAGCAGATGATCAGCAAATATGCCGCTATAGCTACAATACAACTCGGACAAGTACTTGCGAGATTGCTACTGATGCACCGCCTAGTGCAGCTTGATAGTCAGTCCATTCTGCGAGTGTGCATGCAGGCAAGATGTCATCTTGGCGTCGTAGACGACACCCATCTCCACGTTGGACATGCAGCAAGGCAAAAGAAAGTCCTGACGTCGTGTGTAATCGATGAAGTTTGCGGCTATTTGGAAGAGTAGAAAGTGCATTACTCCAGAATAGCGGCAATGACACCTACGACCTCCAGTGACGAGTGTAGATAAGGACAAGCATTTTGCTGCAAGCGCGCCGAGGCCAGTCCTCTGCAAATGCTTTCAGTGCCTATAGAGAAAGAGTTGCAGGTGTTTATTTTTTTGTTGCCATTTCCACTATAGTGCGGAATCCCTTAAATGGAGGTTGGTTGAAGTTGAAGTTCACAAGAGTGATTGTCATTAAGAATTTTTTAGTCGTCATGGCAACAAAATGCACGCAAGAAGAAGCAACAGTGGCTGGATGGTCTCGAGAAGAGGTAAAAATGAGTAGAGCTGATCCGTCTTGTTGTGGTGTACGGAAACATAGTGACGAATGGGGATTAAACATACGGCAGGTCTTAAATCACATTGAATTGTTAGCAGCCGAGTTCTTGGAGTGCCTTACGGTACGAATAAAGTGCAGTGATGTACTATGTAGTGTGGAGTTAATATTAACAATTTTTCATCATGCAGGACGGAAAGGTTTTATATCTAGAAGCTGTGAGCAAATGTTCTGATCTCTACGTCTTTATATGAGATGACTTATTTGTCTGTAAAGTTAAAGCGCAATTCGTCTGCGATGATCTACGACCACGAGAAACAACAGCAGCTTCACGGCAACGATACACGCTTGATTAAACTAGTAGGTGCTGTATATATTCCTTCATACTAGTCATATTAGATCGTCTGTCACCTCACGGCATGCATAGAATCGACAAGGAGGCAGGCGATACACGGGGATATGGTTGATCTTGCAGACAGCACATGCTTTGTTAACGGAAAACAAAACTGCAACACAGGTTTGTGGTTGCTACCGTAAACACTGTCATGCCTCGATTACAATGCTAACTTTTGTCTGGGCCGTAATTGTGTAGCGAGATGTTTACTACTTGCACCCTTTCTTCAAAGGCCAAAGCGAAGCTGACGAAGCAATTTTAGGTAAGACCTTCATAGCTGCTTGAAATGACGAAGCATTCTGTGTGTGCGTTCTTTCCTGCCTCCAACATTGTACGAAAAACTATTTCGCTCGCAGACGCTGGAAGCATATTGGGCGTTCCAAGAGGATGCATGAATATTGTCGGCGCGACTAAAGGGTTCTTCACTGGAAACCTAAGTATTTTAGTACGTCTTTATATCGTCAAAAGCATATCTGATGGGCATGGCTTATGCTAACACCTTTGCACGATTAAAGAGAGATGGCCAATGGAGGCACTTCAGTAGCGGAGAGGAAGTGTCAATTACTCAAGAGCTTTTGCAGCTGAAGCCTTGCGAGATGTATGCGTTTCGATCATTGTTATGAGTCGAAGCTTGCGTAGCTCATTCAACTTCTTCGATACCTAGGCAAAGCAACGCAAAGTGTATTATTGTAATCGAGAAGGATGGTAGGTTGAAACCCAACAACATGAAAAATGTGCTGATTCTAACGACTGTGATATGCTAAAGGGATTTTTAATCGTTTAAGGTATGCATCGGTTGTTTGGGTGTGATATGTTGCTTCAACTTACCACGATATGCTTGTCAAAACGCTAGAGAGGATAGGTTTTTTGAGGCGATCCCAAGCATCCTGATCACCGGTCGTGGATTTCCAGATTTAGCCACAAGGTTTGCCACCACATGAACCATCAATTCGTGTTGATATTTATATTCTCATTTAAGACTCATTCGTGCCAGGATGTTCGTCAGTCTATTAAGTCGTGTTTTTGGAATTCCGGTTTTCGGTCTTTGCGATTGCAATCCGTTTGGTCTCTCGATCATGGTACGAAAGCCAAACAGAATTGAGTCACCCATTTTCTCCGCTAAAAGGGTGTTGTAGCTCACTTACAAGCTAGGGTCAGCTCGGATGCCTTTGGAATCGCTGCAATGTGGTAAGATTGGATCTGCATTCGATTCTTTGCTGCCTTCATAAACCAGTTTGTATCCCATTTGCAGCTATAGACATCAAGTGGATTGGCCTCCGTCCATCTCAAGCTGCAAGCCTAGACTTGCCTTCATCGTCTCTTAAGGCGCTGACACGAAAGGATATTACTGTAGCAGACTCCTTACTGCGCGCAAGCTTCGTTCAGGTAAAGCCATAGAGAGGACACACACACATGCATGTGCACAATGAGTGACATTTCTGTGACAATAGGCTAATGATGCTTACAAGGAAGAAGTTGAGATGTGGCTTGGCGAAACGCTGCCGTGGAAAATTGAGCTTGAAGCTCTTCACTTCTTAGGGTTTACGTTTCTCACCTCTTTTCTTCGAGATTGCATTAAGAAGGGCAACTTTTTGTGAGAATGCGCGAAGATTTTGATAAATGAAAATGTATTTCAGATCACATCTGTTGTTTTTATAGAGGTACGCCAGCATTTAGCGCACTGCTCACAAAATCCACAAACACTACTCGAAGCCAAAAGTACATCATGACAGCTAACAAAATTGAAATCGGTAGCGCTGGAAGTGCCTTCTGGTAAATACCGAGTAAGAACAAAGTGCCTCCGAGACCCTAAACAACAAAAAGAACTCGTAAGACTGACTCGGTAATCACTGTTCTCGAACAAAAGACTAGCATACCATGAGGACAGAAACCAAACACCCGATCATCGCTGAAAAGTCGTACTTGGCTGCTCGAGATACCAACACACTGTAAAAGACAAAATCTCCCAGTCCCAGTTTAATCGTTTCGTCCACCTCTGTAATCCATCCATGATACAGGTTAGCAAGTCATACGAGTATATTAATCAAACTAACCTACAAACGCACCCCCTTCATCAGTAATATACTTTTGACAAAGATCATGCCACATCTCAGCTTCTCGTCCATGATACCGTTCCAAAATCATATCAACGCGAGAAATGGCAGAAGAGTTATGTTTTGAGTAAAATTCAATCAAACGAGCACGCAATTGATCCAAATGAGGTGTCAAAGAAGTCCGACTAGAAGTCGCAAGAACTGCTGGCACATTCGCCTGCAAACCTTGACAACGAGAAGCTTCTGACTCGTACTGATAGTACACATTTTCGTTAACAGGTGGGGCTGTATTGCTTGAGTGATCACGGCGAATTTCAGCTTCGTAAAGAAGGCCTGCATTGCCGACAAATTCAGTACAATTAGCGAAGTGAAGCTTTGATACTGAACAGGCCAGGAACGTACCAGGAAGCGGGCGTCCCTCCTGTTGTACAAGCCTCACGAGCCATTTCAACGGTCCGCACGGCGTCAACACCGCACATAAGTCATAGAATGCAAGCACAATCACCAAGGCCCAGGTACTCCACTCTGGAAATTGCCCCAGTTGCCAAGCCATGATTACTGACGTGGCAATTAAGTACATCTGCGTGAGCCACATAGGGGTACCCTTTTGATAAAATATGGTCAACACGCCGACGACGGAAAAGTTGTACATGGCAAATAATAGCGTGAACACATCAACAATGATGTCCATCTTGGCGATGACAATGACTAGCATGTTGCCTCCCAACATACCCAACAACATTGCTGACGAGAACATCATATATCCAATCAATATCTGCGATTCATTAAACACAACCAGTAATGTAAGCAAATTGCAATAACAGCAGCTAAAACCAAGTTAAACAAAGATCTCACTCGGTTAAAGTTAAACTTGTAGCAGCAGACAATCACAAACGTCGCCACAAAGAAAAACAACACAATCACCAGAGCATTCACAACTGCATCCTCCACTTTTGTTCCAGTGGATGCACCCTGTTCTTTGTCCGGTCCATAGACTAGATAAGCTCTGCAATATTAGAGCCAATATTCGTTAGTAACCAAGAGTGTAACGTCATTTCAAATTGCAACGTACCCTGCAAGCGCTTGAGCTGACGCTGGATCTTGCACATTGAGTGAAACAAAACTGCAATAACAGATTGGCAACAAATTACAACGTTGGTAATTTATCCATGGTAAATTACAAATTTGATTAACGTACCTAGCGAGCAACATTGTTAAGGCCACGGGCCACACGACAGCGGAGAACGAGCCAATTGAATGTAGCAATTCCTCATGTGTGAAGATATCACGTTCTTTGTCTTCATCATGCGACCTTCGACGTATTCGAGCGGGCAGTAGACGCTCGCGCACGTCGCTTCCATCCAGAGCCTCGACGTCTGACATTCTTAGACGTCTGAAGTAAGAATAGGGAAGATATGACAGACCTACTGAAAAGAATGAATGCTACGAAGAAGGGTTTAAAGAGAATTCGAACAATCACTGAACACGACGCATGAATTAGCAGTCGATACCGGTAAAAAACGACCGAAATGATGTCATAAGCTTCGGTAAATAGTCGAGCTTTTTTGATACTATCCACCCAAAATGACCTATTTGTACACAAAAGATAATGTTACTCAGAGCTGTCGAATGACGCTACACAAAAGTCTTAACTGATTGACTTTCGATGGTAAGCTGCGAATGAAGTAATTGCTACAAACGTCCCAGCTAAACAACACCTCAAGTGACCAAGTCTTTCTGCACTTGTGTACATCATCTTATGCGTCATTTGGGTGAAACGTTGCTAAAGAGATTGCAGTACCGAGAACGAATAACTTGTGGAGTTGTACGCACTGTCGTTTTACATTAAAAGACATTGCGCTGAAGACTTTTATGCCTTTGGTATCGATTGCTTGCGTCAAGTATCACAACGCAGAGGGACACTTATGTAGCAGTCGTTACAAACTTTGACATGTGGTCACCGCCGACAGCAGATAATTGCTGGCTTCTTGGTCGCTTCAAACTCGTGGTAACAACCTGATCTCGATTCGATACGACTCCTGAATGCATGAGTAAAATATAGATGCTCTGCTATTTGTCGTTGCAATTTTAATGCGACGTGTAAAGCAAATACGCCCAGTTGTACATCCGGGAAGACGAAAGAACAGCACCCATTCGCGAATGAAAGGCGTCCAGGCCCGATTGTGAAAGGAGTTTTATACACCATACTGTCTATTGGAAGTAGTTTATAGGCGAGCTGCGGCATCTTTCTTATTGCCGATCAAGCGAAGACGACTGATTCCGCCATCAGGAAATATTTCAAGTCTGACGTAATTTACCCCAGCAGGAATTAGATTCACGTTGCCTTTCACAACGGAGAAGAAGTGTTGCTTATGCGCTTCAGCTTCACACGAGGCAGCACCACTTCCCACTTGACAGCTCCATCTTTTAATAGCTCAGTCTCAGTGTTGCCACTTTCGTATCGTGTACCGCAAATCACGCAGCTCTCAGGGAAATTGCCACTTCAACCTGCCGTATGACGCTCAAGCATCCCAGCTTGAGCGCTACCCAATCCTTTCCAGGTATATCTAGCAGCCCGGTGTTCATATCCAGCAGTTTCCCATCCTCCAGCCATCGTCTTGCTTCGTCCTGGTGCCATTAAATTGCGAGGATGGCCATAATGTGCATCGCTATAGCCGATCACTTGTCCTCCGTGTGCAATGCTCACTAGATCCAGCATATCAGACACCTGAATGTGCTTCCAGTCTATAACTACCTCTCCAAACACTCGCAGCCGTACAATTCCTCCATCTGGGAATATATCAAGCCGAATATGCGTCCAAGGTCCTCTCTTAGACGGTGATACTCTCAGCAAATTGTGACGGGTCTCAGTGTATCCAGCTCCGAGCTGCGTAAATGGTACAATCTCCGTCCATTCGACGGACTTGAGCTGCTCTGCCAGCTTGAGCTCTTTGGGCGTCGCAGACACTCCCATTGAACGATCTTTTGTAGCTTTAGCCGTAAGAACTTGTAATGCATCTGCAGCGTTGGCATCATAGTCCTGAGTGATATCCGCAGCTTGAATGGACACACGCGGTGCGTAGTTACCCGTGAAAAAGGCGGTATCCACGTCCACGATGTCTACGACGCCACGAATCCCAAACATCAATACGCACCAGTCATGGCCAGGTGTTCGCTTGCGTCGTGACTCCCAACCATCCATTCACTTGCCAAAACTCGTAAACCTGTCAGCAATAAAGACGGGGGGGATCGGGAAGAAGCAAACAACTTGCAGGAGCAAACCATTCATCCGTAGCAAATAGTATACGTCCTCCATAGGTAACACTGGCCAAGTCTGTCATTACCTCGACATCATCTGTTGATAAGGGCTTCATAGCTTTTGACTGAATAAGAGGAAAAATGATCTCGTAATTGTATCTCTCCAATTTATTCTTGCAGGTGGATAAACAAAACCAGATATTGTTATATACATGATTATGTTTATTTTGTGTCTATTGGTTTATGGGGATATCAGAATAATCGTTGAAGTTTATCGAACTGATTGGTTGGTCATGCTGGAGATGTTCGACCGTAAAATTACGTCGTCATTAGGATGATCGTTATAACTTGAAGTAAAGGCTAGCGAATCATGTCGCAGTTGAGCAAGTAACTGCTAAGTATCATGGTAAAACATACATTCGCTTCAGAGATCGTAAGTGTTGTACGCATTATTTGAATGCAATGCTACAGCATTTGGATGAGCGAATTGATATCGACAATCGCAAAAGGTCATTCAAGCAATGTTGCAATCAAAAGTTGGATTCGTTTGACCTGGACGCAAGAAAAAGATGTCACGTCTTAGAAAGGACTAGACAAAGAGACGTTATACTCGAGCTAGTCAATACTATAACAACTACTCGGTTTTTTATAATTGAATGCGGGTCCAGACTCTCAAGCCTCAATATGAACATGACAGAAGGTGACTTTTCATACACTGTCCTGACAGCTAAATTGAGCGGATGACGAAATAACTGAATCATATACTAAATAGGCTACATCGTTTGCCCTTCTCTGCTCCACTTCTTCAACTTAATCATTGCTTCAAGCTCTATCACGATCTTGTGGCATAGAGAGGCGTCGTCTGACGACGAAAATCTGAGATTTAATATAAAAGCTTGTATGTCACTATGGGCGTAAAACAATAGGTTGTTCTTAAAAAGGCGCGAAACTTACTTGCATTATCTCATGCTGTAAATAATCCGCGCAGCAGAGTTCATTTGCCTTGCATGCAATAACACTGTTGATGGTTGGTCACTATTATTCTACAATGTACTATCAATCTTCCTGCCATCAATGACATTAGTTTTCTCTCATATCAAAAAGCGCGCGAAAACAATCTTATGAAAACGCATGATATGCTCAAAAGTAGGTTTCCCGCGAAAAAACCTTACGAAACCACTAAAACCTCACCATCAAAAGCGTTTTCTCTTTCCGCCTTCGGCGCCAAACCGACAGAGCAAGCAAGTAGCAAGTCGAATAGACGATGAAGACTATTATTAATGAGGTTACTACTACCGCTATGAGGCCGCTTAAGGATGCACCACGCCATCAACTTACACGAAACCTTTTGTATACTTTAAATCTAATTAATGCGGTGCGTAAAACCTAGTGATCGTGTGTTTCTATGAGTGACTGTAGACGACTAAAGGGTTTTCTTCCACTCCTACTTGATGTCTTGGTGTTTGTATGTAGAATTACTATCGAAAACATAATCCCAAGCCTCCAGACGCTTTGAATAATAAGAAGAAAAAGCTACCTGTTAATTACATTTTCTCGGAGAATGGAGAGGAAACATTCAAGAATGGCCGTTACCTTGTCCGTGGTCGAAAACTTGGCGCGGTATGAAAAGTTGCAATGAATGAATTATTAGGAATGAAGAGAGATATATGGAGAGTAGAAAAAACTGACACACAGGGCAACGGAATGGTTGTCTCTATCGATTTCTGTGAATTCAATTTGATACTGTAGGGTTCGTACGGACAAGTGGTAGAAGCCCATGATCTTGTGACCCAGGAGATTGTAGCGATCAAGATTGTACAGAAGAAACAACAATATACAGAACAGGCTCAGACGGAAATTAGCATTTTACAGCTCTTGCACCTTCCGAAACAATATGAAGCCACGAATTATATTGGTGCGTGACTCTTTTTACCTAATCTGGCATCTCTTTGTGTAAATGTGGTAGCTATTCTCGGATATAGCGCCAAGAGTCGCTCACTGTTTCAGCTGGTCTAATTTATTGCTTTGTTTCTGTGTTGATTTTTGCTGCAGTCAAGTTGATGGATGCATTTATGCATAAGGGACACCAGTGTCTCGTGTTTGAACGACTTGGACCAAATCTCTTTGATGTTCTGCGCGGATCCAACTTTAATGGCATTAGCCTTAAGTTACTGAAAAAAGCTAACGCAGCAGATTTTAAAGGCGCTGGAGTACATGCGTCACCCCAATGTGAACGTGATACACTGCGATTTAAAGCCGGAGAACATTTTGCTAGTGTCGCACGACCATAGCTCTCTCAAGCTCATTGATTTTGGCAGCTCTTGCCTTTCACGGAATCAGGTTTGTTTTTACATACCGAGCGACAATGTTGTGAGAAATGAATGCTGATGAATTGTCCTGCTCTTTGTCGGTAGATTCACCGTTACACGCAAAGTCGTTTCTATCGAGCCCCTGAAGTTTTGCTCGGAATGCGATATACTGCTGCTATTGACATGTGGAGTCTTGGCTGTATTTTGGTGGAGATGCATACGGGCAAACCGCTATTTTGTGGTTATGACTCGCCAGACCAGCTGCACCGAATTATCAACGTTCTTGGCATGCCCCCGCGCGAGCTTATTACCCAGGCAAACCCCAGCTACCGACAAGGCTATTTCGATGAAGTTGTGATGACTGAAGGCGATAATAAATGGACTGACTACCGCTTGAAGGTGCGCAAGGTCGTGCCACCAAAAGGAGTTGATGTGGTGAGTATTTATATACGATACATTGCATTTTGCTGTGATTTGCTAACGTTGATTTTGCGTGCGCAGATTTCTGACAGCTCCAAGACTCTAGCGGAAATTTTGGCATCTGCCGAAAAGTATGGCACGTTGAATCATAGCCCAGAGCAATATCCTGCGTTTCACGACCTCATAATGCGCATGTTAGACTATAAGTACGTTTGTGTGAACAGTTATCCACTAATCTGCACAGCACAGCTAATTTTTTTCTGCCTTATGTTCAGCCCGGAAACACGGATAACTCCGACGGAAGCAATGCAGCACCCGTTTTTGAAGGGCAACATGCGGCAGATGCAACGAGCTGAGGCGATGGAGGCGCCTGTGGCACAGGGAAATTATAAGTGCATGCGTGCATCCACGATGCACGATGTCCACAGTCGCAACGCCGAAACTCGAGAGTCACCGCTAAACAGGTCGAAGCAGCGCCGTTTCTTTTGACATGAGCGATGATCAGTTTGCGACGCTGTATGCAGCAAATGTTTCAAGAATAGTTCGGCTTGATAATTGACGAGCCTATGCCCACGTTCTAGCTGAGGGGGACAACAATCACGAGTCATCGTAATTCCTGTAGTTGATGCTTTTGTTCGTCACGCTGGATGCTGGCGGGGCCATGATAGCTACGCGTCATCCGAGCTGACAACTTTGTCAGAAGAGAAGAGGGTCACATACCATGACGTAAACGGCTATATGCAGGCGCATGCGCTGTCAATCGACATGAAGCTGTTATCGGGCAAGGCAAGAAGGATGGGATGCAAGTCAAGTTCCTATTGAAGTACCCTCGATTGAAGTCTCGCGGCTTTAGTGAAGGAGAAGAGCAGAATAATGTAGTACAGCGATTTACAAAGTATAGTTGGTAGAATACACAAACCAAGATGTACGCAAGTTATATAAGGGATAAACTCATCAATCACTTGAGATAGTTTTGCTCGGTTGCTGTACATACAATAGCGCAAGAAGACAATGAAAACCGCAAAGAAAACTCGACAAAGTACGTGTTGCAAAGCTTCCAGCAAAAGTCTCAGTCATCAGCAAATGCGAGTCCCTGGAATTTCATGTTATGATTATGGATGTATTTTTACTCCATATCTGCACTTGATCTCCATAGTTCACCATCTAAGACTGTACAGTCCCTAATGTTCTCAATTCTCTCCTTGACGCTTAAGGTAATCCAGCAGTACATTCAATGCATGAGTCTCCTCACCAAAGTCCGTAATGACAGCGCATGACGTGGATACAACCTTACGGGCTTCACCCAAAGCATCAATCTTACAAAGACCACACCACTCACCAAGCTGCTTTCCTGAGGGCACCAAAATAAGGTTCACACCATGCTCTTCACATAGAGCACGCACTAGCTTACTGTAGCTAGGTTCATCGCAGTCTTGAGCTAGACAACAAAGACGCGCACGACGCGAATCCAGAGCCTTGGCAGCTTCATGAAGACCACGTTTCAAACCATCATGAATAAGCGCCTTCTTAAGTACCTCCTTAAGTGCATCCATTTCTCCCAATTCCTTGGGTACTTCAACTTCTGCTACAACTTCCTCAGCCGACATGATTCTTGCAAAACGGTGGAGTCCTCGGAAAGAAGCTTTATGACGTGATGAACTCTACACATTGAATGGCTAGTGACTCACTAGTAATGATTTTGGTTGACTGGTCCAAATGCGTCGCCTTAGTTAGTGGATCTTACACTATTATGACTTTTATGGCCTTGACTTTAGTGTCCTGTCACTCTTTTGTATTTGCTCCATAATGAAAGGTTTGAAGCACGTTTTGGCAGTGGGTTCTGCACTCTGTCGTCGTCATGAAGTGCATGGAGGGCGCAATAGAACGTCATCCATGCATTCGAATGGACGGATCTTCTCTAGTCATCGACCTATGGATGCTTTATATGAAGGACAGGACTATGATCGTCAAGTAGAACAGAAATTTAGTAAATTGTCAGGAAAGACACCATGGGAGCCTCATATCAAGTATTTAGACGGTACTAAGACCCATTGGAAAGGTCCTGAACCAACATTAAATGAATTAGTAAGAGATGACGTACCGACAGCTAGAAATTTATTCCGTCATGTGTTACAGCGACGTTATCCAAAAGAAATGAAAATGTGGAATAAATGGGGTGTGATGGTAAGATAAAAGCGGCATCTATTTGATACAATCGAGAGAAAGAATCGACGATCGAGTCGAGAGAAGATTGAGCTGTGTGTTGTATTAGAAAGTATATAATTTAAGTGATTGTATTGATATGTTGATTGTATTTGATATGAAAAATAGGAGTGGAAAGCAGGAAATTACGGACTAGCACGTATGATCTTTCTAAAAGCCTCACGGATTTCATTTGATGTTGAATTATGGACGTCATGGGCGTCGATGGAGTTAGAAACAAAGAATTTACAGGAAGCCAAACGCATTTATAAAGTGATTCTAGCAACAGATTCGAATAATCCAGTGGCAGGATTAGGAATGACACTCTGCAAGGTTCAGGCAGGACACTTGGATGAAGCACGTGAAACGTTTCACCAACTCTTAGACAAACATCCAAAGGATGTGCTTATTATGCAAGCGTATGGTGTTTTTGAGGCCAAGTGTCAACATGTTGGATTGGCTCGAAGTATTTTTCAAAATGCAGTGTCGCACCCGCAAGCAACGGGTCAAGTTTGGCATGCATGGGCCAAAGCAGAGTATGATTCTGGACTATACAAAAATGCGCTTGCAGTGATATCGAGTGCTTTTGAGCGCTTTCCAACACACAAATGGCTCATTCTGCTTGGTGCTATGGCTCACTTTAAGCTTGGCAACGTATATGAGGCACGTCGTGCGTATCGTCGACTTATTGACGGTGGACTCTATGTCGAGCCGTCGGCCTATAACTCGTATGCAAAGATGGAGGAAGAACTAGGTAACGAGGACGCAGCAATAAGCTTGTACATTGAGGCTTTGGAACGGTTTCCAGACCACGTACCTAGTTTGATGTCGCTTGCCGTTTTATACAAAAGACGCGGACGTATGCGCAATGCGCGCAAGGTTTTTGAGAGCGCCCTTCAAAATCTCCAGCACACTGGGCCTGTGCTGCACGCTTTCGGAGACTTTGAGGAGCAGCACGGAGAGCTTGACAATGCACGAGAACTGTATGACGAGGCTACAAACGTGCAACCAACTGTCATTGAGTCGTGGCGTGCGCTGGCACGTGTTGAAGCTCGATTAAAGAATTATGAGGCTGCGCGTTCAGTCCTTACCTTGGCAACTCAGCATGTACCCAATGACGCACCTTTGCTTATTGAGTTGGCCAAGATTGAGCAGCGGAACAAGAGTTTTCCAGCAGCTCGTCAGGCATTGGAAAAAGCTCTTAAGATTGATCCTTCTGACGCATCGGTGTGGAACTTGCGGGCTTTGCTTGAGTTGTCAGTAGACCCGGAACGTGCGAAAACGATTGTGGAGAATGCCCTGTCGGCGATTCCTGAGTATGAAAAAACTAGCTGGAGCATCTTGATGTGCACATACGGTCGTACATATGCAGCTTTGGGAGATTACCAGCAGGCAGTTGCAGCCTTTCAGCGTTCATTCAAGCTACGTCCGAAGAATTGGGAAACGCATTTGATTTATGCTGATAGTGTTTTAACACCAAACGAAGCGTGGACAGAAGCCGTGAAACATCTCACGGCTTCGCGCAAGCTACTTCCGCGAACTGATAGACGCCGCGCCAATGTTGAGCGCAAACTTCGTGCTGCTGAGGCAATGGTCAAAGCAAATCAGTACAAGGACAACGAATTAAACAACGACGAGGATCTTCAAGAAGACGAAGGTTCGTGATTATAATAAACAAAGCGCATGGGATTCCGAATTTGCACGATGCTTGCTTATTGTCTAAACATGTCGATGTCACCATCCCCACTACCGGTAAGCAACAAATCCGATCTTTCCTTGTAAAACGGTTGGAATTCCGCACAAATGCAAGCAGTGCTTCGACCATACAGCTGAAAACTTTCCACCTGTTCACGCGCGCCAGATGCGCGATAAAGTACCACGCGCCCGCGAGCATCTCCTGATGCCCATAATGCGCCGTCGCGGGAAAAGCTGCCCTGCACTCTGTAGCCCTCGACTTCGTGGCTGCCTCTAAAATAAAGAGGAAGACGACGTCCACCAACACTAGGGCCTTTGACGCACTTGTACGGAGCCCGGAGCGAATAGAGTGTCGCATAGTTGCCGCTGCACTGAGCAACGAAGTACGGCCTAAATGGATGTTTGCGCACGCAAGAATGCGCTAGCATGTTGTTATCGAGACGGTCATAAAGCAACGTAGCAGAGCGCCAGTCCCAAACCAGCAGGGTCTGATTGCTAGCATCGCGCTGCCTTATTCCAGCACTCGACACAAAGCGTTGGCCATTGTCATCGAGAAAAAGCAAGTCGTGGACATCACCAAACGATTTTGAGTACGTGGTAACACAACTATTCAAGCGAAGATCGTGACAGTAGATATGACCCTTGTCAGTTCCAAGAAGGACCGAGTTTGACTCCGTTGGGTGAAAGTGCACGGTCGTAATGCGCTCAATATTGGCCAAAGCCGTACCAACATCAGGTCGTCGAATCTTTTGCCGTACTTGACCAGTTTCAGCGTCAATACAATACGCCATTCCATCATACCCACCCGAAAGTATCTGCTGACCGTTTTGTGACCACTTAGCGTTTGCCACACCGAATCTGTGGTGCATCAGCTTACGCCTACACCTTTCATTCTGTTCCTGTGGTGCAGATTTCCAAATACGCATAGTAGCGTCCATGGAAGCTGACAAGAACAAATCTGGATTACTTGGATGCCATTGTAATCCATTCACTGCGTTTGTGTGACCAACAAATCGCTGTCGCTTCTGTTTCCACAATGGTTTTATCCGTTGCAAATTACGTTTTGTGACGTCCGATAGCTCCATTTTACTCTCATCCAATGGCAAATCATTACTACAATCAACATTTTCTGTTACAAATAGCTTTGTAGCAGTAGTGATCAACTTCTCTTCATGATTATAGCCACGACGTTGACGTTTGGCGACATATGCATGAAATACAAAAGAGTCGTCGTGTCTTGTACATTTCCTATACACGTCTCGATGGTCGTTAGTCAATTGATTGGATAATAGTAGATGCTGATGCTGCTGTTGTGTCTTGGCAAGTGATACTCTAGCATAAGGTGAAGAAGGTGAGCCGGGCGTTCTCGAAGGCGAGGGCGAGGAGACGTAATTCTCGAGGATTGAGTCCATATTTGTAACTAATGAATTGATGCGAAGAATCAAATACAAATGTATTATTATCCAATCAAACGCCCTGCTTATGTCAAAAACAACCATTTTATGTATGGCACAGTCAACAATATGCCTTCTAATCGTCCTGAACGTCCGCGTGTTTATGCGTCAGGTGACTTTAGTTGGATGGAAGACGAACGTTACGGTGGTAAGAAGTCACTATGGAAGCGAATAAAAGAGGAACCACTTGTTCCAATAGGTTGCGCACTCACGGCAGCCGTGCTACTTGGTGGACTCGTGACGTTTCAACGGGGCCAGTCTAAATTGGGTAATAAATTTATGCAGGCGCGTGTTGTCCTACAAACAGCTACAGTTTTTGCTTTAGCAGGAGGAGCTGCAATGGCATCAAGTGAAAAGAAAGAGAGAAAGAAGCAAAGCTATGAAGATCGAATGAAGATTGAGATCCAAGACGAGTAGTAACTGCAGCTTAAAGTAAAGAAAGTCAAGAGGAATGTCTTTAAGCGAGGATTCAGAATCACAATGACTCATCTTGGAGCGACGTACGTGTTGAATACGCTCATCAAGTAGCTTACGAGTATTTAACTGAACAATTGTTGGTGTTGGCCCAGACAGTGTGATTGCACGGGCGATAATTCAAAGGACACAAGCTGTTAGTTTGAAGGCGAGTAATATTGCCAAGACTTTGGCAGATGGCTGATGAAGCCTTTCATAGTGGCCTCGTTTTCGCTTAGGATTCAGGTGCATTGAGCTAGTTGCGACTGGATTGTGTGCTTGCTTCTAGTCGTTACACGATAAACTACACATACAAACATGAATTTTGCACGCTGCATCTTTTGTGTGTCGCAGTTGAGAGCTGCATCTTTCGTATGTCGCAGTACATTTACTGTACTAAATGCATCTTGAAGCCACGCGTCGCAACTTTTTTGAACCCGCACTAGTTTGCTGGTGAACTATAGCAACGCATATTGGACGTATGAAGATTGTATTGCCAATGTCTCATGCTGCTGCGACGCAGCAGTGGTGGTAGTGGTAGAATGGCGATCACGACGGTTGGATGGAAACACGTTTTTGCAATCGTAAGGCATGCTGTTGAGCTAATTCCCCCTATTTGGCGAGAATGTTCACCCCTTTATGTAACTTGTTTTTCTTCTATCAACGCATGTGCTTGTGTGACAGTGCTTGGTCCGAAAGCTCGTTGTCAAGCAAAATGTTTTGCCTGTAGTTTTTTCAATTACAAAGAAGCAGGTATGAAATATGTGGCTCAATGGGATCGTTAAAAATGAATCTGCGTCTCCTAAAGCAAACACGTTCGTTCAGAAAAAGGTGAGGTAGAGTTAATTGAAGAACAAGACAACTAGATACAATACTCAGACCCAAAAATCCAAAGCAAACCAGAAAATGGCTAATGCTGCGATGGTCGTATACTGCTTTGACGTGCTCCAGTCACGCTTCAATGGCAACATAGAGCCCACGCCTTGCTTTAACGTGGAGCAGGAATGGTATGCGTCTCGTTTTACCGTTTCCGTCTCTGCCCGGTCTCTTATGATTCGCTTGCATTAATCTTTTCACTGACATTTGACAGTCCGTTATTCGTGACGTGGGAGATCGAGGAGCACGGTGGGACTCGCTTGCGCGGCTGCATTGGAACGCTAGCACCCACGAGTCTGCGTAACCTGCGCGATTTCACCCTCAAGAGCGCGCTGCGTGACAGCCGTTTTGCCCCCATCGGGCCGCAGGAGCTGCAACGTCTACACTGCACTGTATCGCTCCTCGTCGACTTTCAGGACGTTGAGAGCTATGACGACTGGGAGGTGAGCACATCTTGATGTTTAGTAAGCCTCACATCCAGCGACTGTAATCTTCTTTCGTCTGTTCACCGGTTGCTACTCGTTTTGCTGCAACAGATTGGCACGCACGGGATCATCATCAAGTTCAGTGACTTGCGTGGAAACGAGTACAACGCCACGTACTTGCCGCAAGTTGCTCGTGAACAAGGCTGGACTCATGTTGAGACAGTCACGTCACTTATGAGAAAAGCAGGATATCGCCATAGTATCACCGAAGCGATGCTGAAAACTGTCCGCGTCACACGCTACCGCAGCTCAATCCACAAGCTTACGTACCAGCAGTATCTTTCCATCAGACAAGAGATACTGAACAGTGCATGAGTCTATCGCACATTGAGTTTCCACTTATTCACTGCATTTCAGCTTGAGTTTACTGTAGTTGCATTTCCAAGCGTTATTGACGTTTATTTGATTGCTCGCTATCGATGTTCTCTGTTCATCTTCTATCTTAACGCTTTGGTTATGAATGCGGCACATGCTAGTTTATTCACAAACAGGCTGTCTGAACAGCTCTCAGGCATCAACATTCCGCTGGGCTAAGCGCTCCTGATAGTCGTCATGAACCTGCTTGATGAGGCTGTCTCCACCGAGGAGTGGATCATAGCTAAACTCGTCCTCGCTGCCAGTATGATTGCCTCCGTGTTGGTCCATGACGTACATATTCTCTTTCAGCTCATTTCCATGTAACGCCGCCTTTTCTGAGCCTTCATCTCCCTTTTCACGGCGCAGGAGTGGTCAAGTGTTGATGCTTATTTTTAGCAGAGGACGTGTATTGAACCGCCAAGCGAGAGTATACATCGCCGTGCGGAGCGGAAGGTGCGATCGAGCCAATGGCAATGCTGCCAGCTAGTAGCTACTACCTTGGTTGCAAGACCGTGAGTGGTCGCCATCAAGGTTTGACCAAGTTCTGTTTGCAATGGACATACGCCAGTCAGTTGCGGTAGAACCACGTTTGAAGCCGTCCGAGTCACGGCTCAAGAAAACCCGTCGATACTTGGATGTTCTTCAAATATGAGTCCAGTGTCCTTAGATTGGGGATAAATGGCAGAATTCGTCAGGCTCTACCTCTACCGATGGTATGTCCCTGTTATATTTCCATTCAATCCCAGTGCTGGCCTGCGTCAGGCTGAAGAGCGCTGTCGTAGCGGGCTCCCTTCAATCACGCCTAGGGAGGTGCGGTGACCCGCCACTGGAACGCTTGCTTGAACGGCGGATGCTGTCGAAGCGTTAGGGCACCAGCTTCGTCAAGATAAGTCCCAACATCGAGGTGTGGCGAGGATAGAGAAGGCAAACCCCCAGGTTCAACTTACTAAGTGTTTCGGGAAGACGCAGAAAACGTGAAGAGATATTCCATCACTCCGTTCGCCGGAGTAAAGGTTTATGGAGCCTCAGCAACCCAGACGTAATGTCGCGGCCTCAGCTTGGCGAGTCCTTGGCCTTAGATCCACGTTTTGTCCACGAGAATGTCCCTAAGAGGACTCAGATACATCCACAAATATCTCACCCTCCGGAGGGATGGAATCCTGCAGGTGCAGGCAGGATCCATGCAGGCTCTTTCCACAAACTGCGAGGCGCTCGGCTCTAGCCATAAAGAAAGCACACTACTCGGCGCTAGACATTGGTAGGTCGCCAAGGAAGAGGCGCAAAATATAAACCCAGCTTGTAATCGATAGCGCAACTGGAATTGGTGATCTCGCGATCTTGTGGTGTAACGTTCATCTGACTGTGCGATGCATGCCCCCTCTTCATCCACCTAAACCACGCCGCGGTGTATTCATTTGACTGTCACGTAAACCCTTACATGACGTGCTTCTGCTGTCGTGCTTGGCCACGAGATGGGTTCCGGAGTCGTCAACAAGGGTTCATTTAGCGCAGAATGGCGGACAAGTAGCAACGGGGACTCTCCCTATTGAAGAACCGACCATTTCCACTTGTCGTCGGAGCGTCATAGCGGTCAGCTTACCCCGGGCCACTTGTGCCTGAAGCTTCGCCGTATGCCCCTAGCGCCCGATTACTCCGCAGACCTTGAATGGCTGAACCGGTATTGGGTGATATTGATGGTACATGGTACCCTCCGTATCCTTGTCCACCAAACATGATGTTTACCACAAGAACAAATCGAAAGTCTACTCTCATGGCGCTGATTTTGACCAATAAGACGTGTAGATTTAGTATTTGTTTATCTATATCACGTGCACATGATTACGCACGAACGCCATCATCCTTCTGAGATGGGCACTCAGTAACCAAAAAAGCAATAATGACGGTACTCAGCCACTATAAGTAGTACATCCTCATCTATCCGTTTCGGCACGTATAATATAGAAAGTGCTGCATGTATCTATAGGATACAGCTAGGATTCATGAGATTTATATATGGTAAGTTTATAATGTAGTGCAGCTACATGCTAGTCGTATTTGACTATAGATAAAGTAATTGTTCATTCATCTGTAAATAAATGATAACATAAATGCCTCTATAACTACATCAGCTACATAATTACACGAAAAGCGCGAACTGTAACTAAACTCATTAAGCGCCGTGGGTTCGCTTGCCAATTCCTAGATTGTTTTCTAGGGTTGTAACCACGCCACGCAAGTGCTCAGGTAGGATGGGCTTCATTGCGCTAGCCAACCAGCTATCAGATATAGATTAATACTTTTGGTATTGATTACTTGTTGGAAGTGCCAGCGGGAGCCGAATGCGTCACACGCCTTAGTATACAAATCATTTATTATTGTTCTATTCTTCATTTCAGTATACAAATTATTTATTTTTGTTTTATTCTTCATTTGAGTATACATTTAGTGGGTGTCTAATTTTTGGTCACAGAATACGTGATATGTGGAAGGGCAAAGACGTTCGTGGAATGACATCATCATTCGTGAAATGACATCATCATCCGTGGAATGACATAAGCGTTTGTGGACTGGTGCAAACTTCTGGAAAAACTAACGCAATGTGTTTCCACAAATACTTTTTCATTCTTGAATTTGCATTAATCACACTAAGCAAACTACAATGCTACAACGCTTTCGTCCTTCGATTTCAACAAAACCAGTACCTGATGCGTCTCACTTTCATCTTTCCGGCCGTAATAGTGGTCGCTCTGCATGGCCAGACCAGCGGACTCCGTAAAAAATCCAGCAACGTAGCTACTGTGTCGGGTGTTTCGCCAAAATCCGTCTTGCTGAGACACGAACTTATCGCGAATCAGGGTCAGAAATATTTGCAGCAAGACAACTGTCCCCCTGGATGTGTATATTGTTTGGGAGACAGCTGCATGGATCAATACGCATGACTCAATGGAAAGTGTGTTTAGTCATCGAACATTCCTCTCGTGTGACCACGCTTCAGCTGAATATGCCAGAGTATGGACCATGTATGTGAGCCGAGTTGGACACAATAATATTTGTATCTATCTATCCTTAGGAATTTGCAATAACAAGATGGTCTTACTTCATTGATTTGTTATTCATATGTATTCTTAGTATTGTTTTTGCTTCGTCTTACTATTCAGAATTATTGCCAATCATCCTTATACCGAAGCCTCTAAGCCTATTTTTAGAATTTCGTGACATTTTCTGAAACCATCAATGTCCATAGCATTTCGTTGTAGTGTATTGAAATCAAGTCTAGTTAGATGTATCACGAATACCATGCTCAGATGGCAGACCAGCACAAACGTGCATACGACGACGCCCCTGCAACAATATCTGCATATCGCCCCTGTAACAGAGCAGATCGATAGTCGGCTTCTTGATCCGATAAGTGATGGAGGTGTTCTTCTCGATAATGATTACGCCGTCAGAGGGAAGGCCATCCGTCAATCTAGATTTCTCGGCTTCTTCGAATGTACTATACTCTTTACGAATAATCACGGATGGAGGAATAAGAATCTCGCCTATAATTCTGCGGTACTCGTCATACTTCCTGGTTATAGTCTGGACAACCCCGTTCGCCGCAATGATATCAATGAGAACCATGGACCCGTCAACGAGCTGCTCTACACGGAGAACATTTGTAAGCCCTGTAAACTCCTCCACATCACTCTTGATCACGTAATTGACGACGGTGAGATTAGGATTGTTGCGACAGACGTACCAGGCCGAACCAGCATCGAAGACCCAGGCATGCTCCCCATCTACCTTAACACGATAGTTGTCTAAGAAGGGTGTTCGCGATACGCGTCGTGCAGCAGATGAGGGTGCGGTTTTGGTAAAGTGCAAGTGTCCAAGTGATTTCGAGATTAGTCGGGTTGCTGCTGATGCGCAGGTAGTTTCTCGACTTATCTTCTTAGCCGCGCCGCGTGATAATCTGGAGGATCTGTGGGAGAACCGAGACATAGATGCGTCGATGTATGATAGTTGCGATGAAGTGGAGATAACCTTGTCGCCTGCTCTTGCCAACGACTGTTTCGAGGTGCTGATGGATTATGAGGAAGTTCGTTTCACCGAGGTAGGTGTGGCAAGGATGATATTAATGGAGGGCTTCTCACGTGCATGCCATATCAGGAGCCGGTACTACAGGGATGCAGCAGAGTGCACGATAAAGATACTCCTCAATTCTTATTATCTGGTTCCCGGAATGAATCGCAGTTTTTCCAAGGAGTTTATGTCTGACGATCTTTTGTTATCATTGGACGATGCTATGCGTATCCAGAGTTACCAGGTCGATGTTACCGAGAGAAGAATGGATATAGGAGAGTGGATCTGCCGGTGCCGCCACTACTTGCCCGATGACGTCTATTCTTGTGAGTTCGAGTATCGGGGTTCCAGACCTATCACGCCTACAAACTGGGTTCGGATGCTCAAGGTGATTCACGCGGAGTTCTCTCACGAAAAGGAGTACAGGTACGTTCTTCTCGTGATACCATGGCAGAAATATTTCGCTCCTTCTGGGGAACCACAGATCACGTTTGGCCTGATCAGCAATGGGCGGGTGATACCACGAGGATTCATGTACGAATGGCGAAGAAGGATGAAAGGATCTAGACTGTTGTAGAATTCCAGGCCGAGGACGATAGACAGAGCTCTAACAACCGATTACAGGTTTATCCAGAATGCCAATGTAGTGGAGCGTGATTTTTGGAGGGCACTACGACAGGCCTACCTCAAAACGTCTCCGTAGGCTACCACGGTTCTACACTGCCTTATCTCAATATGCTTGATCGCTACTCCCTTCGCTCGATGAGGAGTTTTCTTGTATCAGGGTCGGTGACTCGATGGATCGTTTCGGGGGATATGTTGGCTCCACAGCCTGGGCGGAAGATGATCTTCAGTGTGAAACCGCTATTCGTATCCCCGAGAGCATTCCCAGAGAGCCGGGGTATCCCGCAGTCAAGCTCTCATCGATAGTCTCGGCTAGTATTCAGCAGACGCTCATGGATAAGGCGAAGCATGCTACCTGGCGTAGACCTAGGGACGGGGATTATGCTCTTCTGTCCAGGAATCCGGTCTTATCTCATGAGTCCGTCCGCTGTGTAAGGATAATCGGGTGGGATAAGCAGTCTATAGGCGTTCACCCTGAATATTGCGTCCCTTTAAATGTGGATTACGACGGGGATGAGGTTAACGTTCAGATTGTAGATGGTCGGAAGTGTGAACAGGAGGCACGGTCGAGTATAGATGCTAACGTGTTGTCTAAGTTCTCGGATGAAAATGTTGAGAGGGTTCTCCGTGAGTTCAGGGGCAAGTTGACGGCCGATTCTCTGGAAGTTTGCGACTTCATGACGTTTTCCACGATGAGTATTACGCAGGCTGGTTCGAAGAGGCCTAACACGAGTCTCCATAAGTTGTGTCGTTGCAAGGATGAACTCTGGGATATAATTGTTGATGGCATGGATAACATTCCTAAGGTCTATCTGCGCAACCCGGTTTTCATGTCACGTACAAAGGTTCCAAAGAGACACGATAAATGTATGAAGCCGTCTGCGATATGCAAGTACGTACATGACTTTCTCGCCGAAGGAGACTACGCAGCAGCAACATACATCAGCACATCTTACACCTTAGCAATCTACAGCAAATGGGACGTCCTCCTTATGGGCAGTCTAGATTCTTTGGCATCCCTCTTTCAGCACGTTGAGATCCGCGATATAGACGAGGGCAAGAGCCAAATAATTGCCGCTGTACCTAGGGCGTAAGTCGTCCAGTATATCAATGCCGAGCTATCAGGCACCAAGACCACCGGGACCAAATGACTTCCAAGTTCGTGCCTTCTCTATAATGAGCCGGATAAACGCGACCGCGAATGAGATAAAGGAGGAGATGACGAAGACGTGCGAGGCGGTAAAAGAAGCACTTGCGGATTGTGATAGTCCCGAAGCTCTTGCGAAACTCAGATGCCTGGACGATCTTGTATGTTCCTGCGGGAGCCGCTGTCGCATTCCTAGCATCTATCAACCCCTCCCTGACTGCCGCTTCCTCCCACGTAGATTCTACTAGCCCGACTGTAACGCCTATAATCAAGACCCGTGCCATCGTCGATGAACATATAGATTTCTCGTCCCTGCTTAGCAACAAATCACTTAAAGGGGAAGCACCTGCATCGGAGTCAATGTCGAAGGAGGAAGCACAGGAAAAGCCAGAGAGGAAGAAGAAGAAGCCCGGGGACAGCAAGATAGACAAGGGACGGAAGATGTGGATAGAAAAGAAGAAACGGAAAAACTCAGAAAGCAGTAGTTCCACGCAGATTGCTACTTCCGACCTCGAGGTTGGTGATACCGACGACTACGAGGAGGACTTCCACGAATACTCCGACCCGGAACAAGATGAGTACGATCTGCTTTCATCGGGGTTTAACGTTAGCATGTCGGGAGTCGTAAGGGGGAATGACGAAGAGAAGGAGGAATCTGCTGACACTGATACGCCGCCACACCTTACCCCAGCTTGCGAGAGCCCTGTAATGTCCGACGCAGAATCCACCATATCTTCGGCTTCGGGCAGCGTGGTTATATCGAGGTCAAGACGCAACCCTGTATCGTCCGACGTGTCAGCAAGCTCCTCTACGGTATCAGCCAAACCAGTTTTCGTAAGACATGGAAGCACAAGATCTACCTCTGTTCCTACCGCCCCTCCATCTTCTTCCTCCGGGATCGACGGCACCAGTGATAGTCCTCCGTCGCAGGTAAAGCACCTTTTAAAAACTACTCACGACGAGGATATTACGAACGATTTGCAACGTGTCTGAACCTATTTCGCAGTCGCCGTAGATCACATCGGTAGCATAGCTCATCTTCGTGGCACGGAAATCCCTGGTCCTAACAGCCGGCTCCACGTACTCAACCTTGCTACCATACTTCGCTACAGCGTAACCGGGCTTATCGGGATGCATCTTCATAGAAATTCCACCGAGATCTATCAGGACTCCATCTTCCCCGATCCTGTCATAAACGTAGCAACATCCAACCTGTTTGAGCCCGGTAACAGCCAGCCGATTAAACGTTTCCACCAGATAAGAAAGTGAGAAGGAATACACGACGGGGTGGCCACCGATACGAAGGAACTCGACAATCTTGTCAATAGAGAATAGGTATTCGGCGCTTCCTCTGTAATATGCACGCTTAACCCTTCCTCTCGCCAGCTTCTCGAATATAGCAACATGGATTCAGAATCTAGATCCGTAACGTTTATCCACGAGCTCAAGTCCCTGACAGACGACATGTTTAAATCAGGATCACAGACAAGGTAAGAAGCGTCGCCGTAACGAGACATGATACTTAGTGATTGCATGCGCCCGCTACCGATGTCAACCGCGAACCCACTCTTCACGCCCATATTCTCCATGCGACGGTAAATATACTCGCGAACCCGGAATGAGTAGCTTGAAACCCGATCAATAAGAGTATAATCCACATCGTCCGTCGATCTGAGAAGAGCCAAGACGGTTGACAGGACAGATCGGGAATTCGGCCTCACTTTATCAGTACGAGGAATGGCCCTAACAACTCTGAGATTATCCTCCCCGTCCGGTTCCACGTTGCACTCATAGATGGTACCCGACCCCTTCATGCCTGGCAGACCAGCACAAACGTGCATACGACGACGCCCCTGCAACAATATCTGCATATCGCCCCTGTAACAGAGCAGATCGATAGTCGGCTTCTTGATCCGATAAGTGATGGAGGTGTTCTTCTCGATAATGATTACGCCGTCAGAGGGAAGGCCATCCGTCAATCTAGCTTTCTCGGCTTCTTCGAATGTACTATACTCTTTACGAATAATCACGGATGGAGGAATAAGAATCTCGCCTATAATTCTGCGGTACTCGTCATACTTCCTGGTTATAGTCTGGACAACCCCGTTCGCCGCAATGATATCACGCACGATCTTCCCCCACAACGAGAAAGGTCCTCCTCCCGCATCAGAACCACGACGCGTATCGCGAACACCCTTCTTAGACAACCCGCAAAGCTCACAATTTTCGTTCATAATCAGCAGGTACGTCAAATAATTAATTAATCAAGTTACATAAAATCATGTTCCATGTCACGCCGAGGACGATAGACAGAGCTCTAACAACCGATTACAGGGTTATCCAGAATGCCAATGTAGTGGAGCGTGATTTTGGGAGGGCACTAAATCATTAACGACCAGAACTACGATTGGGATAGCTGGTTTCTGATGGCCGGTTACCCGTTCAACCTGGCGGTGGTTCGAGGTAGGCCTGTCGTAGTGCCCTCCAAAAATGACGCTCCACTACATTGGCATTTTGGATAAACCTGTAATCGGTTGTTAGAGCTCTGTCTATCGTCCTCGGCGTGACATGGAACATGATTTTATGTAACTTGATTAATTAATTATTAATTAGAAGCGTCGACGATACTACTAATCGGGTCCTCCGTGCTGAATAGCTGCATCCTTGTTTCGGCTGCCGTTCTTACGAGGCTCATGTTGGAGATGACAGCTAGCAAGGTCCCGGCGTCAAGCACAATCCTCTCTTCGCTCCTGTTGTCGATCGTGACAGAGATAGACCGACGACGATCCAGGAGGCCACCCGAGATGAAGACCCCGACACTGCTCTTCAAGGTAGTTTTAGCTGCGACAAGAAACGGCGATTCATCGCTGTCACATTCCAGGCTTATCATGGTATCAATCGATCGTTGTGAGTTTCTGGGGATTACGAGTTTTCGCGGACACAGTATCCAAATAGTAGACCTGTCGGAAGATACAAGGCACGCGTCGGACCTGAGTTCTTCAACCTTCATCAGCTTCGATAACCCGGATCCATCGAATTAACGAACTCTCATAGTTGCCAGCAGGCGAGTAACGTATATAATTTTTTATCACACATTCGTCAGTACTCCGTCAGCTTCGCAGCTATTCCACGGACGGCGATTACATATGGGTTTCTGGATAAACCTGTAATCGGTTGTTAGAGCTCTGTCTATCGTCCTCGGCGTGACATGGAACATGATTTATGCAACTTGATTAATTAATTATTTGACGTACCTGCTGATTATGAACGAAATGGAATAGGTAGCAACGAGCGGGGAGGGGTGGAGAAAAGGAGTGACGGATACTCCTACCCCTCTTCAGTATGCCATCGATAATCAGCCTGTCTCCAGAGGTTAGAGAATCGGCCGTCAACTTGCCCCTGAACTCACGGAGAACCCTCTCATAGACTCTCCGGGACTACCAATCTCGATCGGATATATTCAGGCCGGGACCCCGCTAGCTGTCATCTCCAACATGAGCCTCGTAACGCACGGGCAAAAGTTTACTGTTTCGGAGATCGTCCCTCTCCGAAGACGATCTCCGAAACACTATCACTGAAGAACGGTAATGTCGTTGATACGTGGGTGTAAAGTTGCAGTGTCGAATCATTATGTTGCGGCATGCTTTCCAACGCATCGCTTTGACACTACAAACACGGAGTAAAGTCGGTGAAGCGACTAAGCAGTCCTATCGGATCATGGCTGCTAGTGAGTTTGTTTCTTCCGTTGATCTTGATTGCAAATAGCAAATACTAGTGCGTGAAAGCTGAATGAGATTCTGACAGTGTGTTGCATCGGTTGCATTTTTTCTACTATGACAGGCTCAGCAGGCCTGTTGAAGCAGATACTGGCATGCAATTTGCAATGGTCAAAATTATGACTTGCTCACAGTAGTTGACCATAAGAAGCGGACCGATAGCTCACAACATGATGGTCAAGCACAACTTTCTCGGGATTACGATGCTCTAATTGTACTCAACGTTATTCAAGAGGCGAGTGCTCGTCAAATGAGCACTTGTTCACATCGAAAACATTGACCTGATGAACCTTCATCCACCGCAATCCATACTCACTCAAGGGCCTACGGTCGCGTATATATATATAATCAACTGCGTGAGTGATCGAGCCCAGTGTGTTAAGGGTTCGGTGGAATCGTGTGCACGCCACCGCGAAAGTCCATATTGTACGGAAAAGAAAACTCTGGGCATCCTAGAACTCTTCAGCAACTTGGAGCTTGTACAAAGTATTACTGCACCGTGAATAAAGCTCACGGGTCAGTTGCTCGATCTGCACCAACACCAGTACCAAACCATCAATGTAAGAATTTTGTGCATGATAGCAACTGGACAGATGCGTGAGTTGCGAAGGAAGTCCTATATGTGGAGCCTCTCATATGGCTTCAGGTCGGCCAAGACCCGTCCAGCCTCCGAGCGGCAACTGCTTGCTTTTGCTATCAGCTTGAACCCACATGATGTAGAACACCATCATGTGAGCTTGATTCTGTTGCGTCAATATATGCATAAATTAAGAAAGCTTACCTCGCGAACATTCTTATAATATAGTGCTGGCTGTATTGATCGGATCGTGGAACATTGTTAAGTGCAGGCAATTTGCCAAAGGTACCACCGTCCTCCGTGTGAAGAACGACAAATCGACACTTCGTTATTGAAACCCACGGTAACTCTGCCATGAAGTTGGACGCCTCCAGGATACATCTCATATCACCATGCTGACCGCAATGCATTTAAATCACGCCTTTCTCCGAGATCGCAAACTTTACGAAAGTGTACATAAGCGCCAACTGTCTATTGTAGCATCTTAGCGCGTCGAAACGTAACGAATCTTTGCACTGCAGACCGGCGCCATGAAGATCGGCGTGGCCTGTCAGCGTCGCACGCAAGTTGTCATGGGTTACAGCACCTTCTGGTGTTCAAAGTTCTACTTGCAACTGATTCTGGTGCAATTTGTGACTGAGCACGTCGTCCGGAGCTTTAAAAGGGTTGAAACAAGCAAAAGTCGGATCTGGAGTCAATCTGAAGACGGTCAGAGGCCTTCAATGAAGTGTCAATTCCAGCTAAAGCTGCTTTCGACTTGACTTGTGCTACTTGACCAATGCTTCGAGGCTTGGAAACGAAAAGACACTTGTTTATGACTTTCAAATAATGTATGAGCCTTGACTGATCGAGCCGAACCAACAACAAGCTCTTCCATATCTATTACTGCCTGCACCTTTGTACATTACAGCGACATTGAAGGTGCTGATTACAATTACTGCACCAACCACTGTTCTTGCGTCGCAATTAGCTGAAGCGTTGCAGGCAGGAGAAGAAACATGCACTAAAACATATATATACAAGCTTGTTGCGCACCCTTGCAGTGCTAGTTTCCATACACTTCCGGCAACGGCACCGCGCGGTCCGTCCACCAGCAATATGCTTCCACGCAACCTGCTCCAAACGTAATTCATCGCGTGAATTCGCTGCATCTGCTGGCGCTCTATTCTTTCCAACTTGTTGTGGACTTTATCTACCACTACTTTTACGTGTTTGCGTCCCGTGAGCACGACTACATAACCTTCAGCGTCACTTTATCCTTGGCTTATTTCTGCTGTTATCCATCGATTTGGATGTTTCCTAGTTCGGGCAAAAGGGCTGACGATACAATAGACATCATAAGAAGTTCACTAGTAGATTTCTATTAATCTAGAACATTTCTGTTCTTTAGCAAAGATGACACAGCACAGATGACGCTCTAGTTCTTGTCCTCGACCGTTAATTGCACGAGGTTACTACCGCCCATAATCATGAAATGCCAGTTTTATAGCAGGAAAGTTGAAAGACACTGCGCTGAACAGCTTTGCAGTAAAATCAATACCAGGCAGCAGGTATTAGAAGTCAATATTGATGCTTTTTTGGTTAATAGACTCATTACGTGTCCAATGTGTACAGCAGCTCGTCGTACATGACTATCATTAACCTTTGTTTCGTGTATCATCTGTTGTCCAGTGATCGCTATCTCAAGTAACTCAGATGCGGCGGATACAACGTCCTCAAAAACTTGCCATTGTATCACTTGAATGTGTTAAAGTCACGTACCTCATTCACGATCTCGAGAGCACGCTGAAGTAGCGTTCGCATCTCATCACAGTTGGAGCGCCGCGTTGCAATATCACCTGTCTCTGCCAACAGCTCATTCAGTTTGTCCTCACGATACAAGGACGAAACTAACTCGTTCTGAATGTTTTCCTTCGAGTGTCCTACCATAAAGCACATGATAGCTTTTGGCACCAAGTCAAGGAAATTTTTCCGCACAATATCAAAGTAGGACGCAAGCAGGCTCTTGATAATCTCCGTCTCAATGCGTTCCCTGTCAGTAGGATCATCGCTTTGCCGCATGCTCACTGGTACCTGAGGAAGTTTGACGACTGCTGGCTTTGAGCTTGCCTGAGCATCCGCACCACTTTTCCTGCGACCACCTCCCAATAAAGACATAACACCGTTTCCTTCGTGTTTCTCTTCGGCTGAGCCGGCAGGAGCTGCGTTCTGGGGCTTTGACGCCTGCCCCGTGCGCCGCGGGTCCTGGCTTATCATATTATTGGTAAGTGCCCCAGTCGATGTCATCGTCTCACGCTGCATTTTTTCCATCAGCTGGGCAACCGCACGACTGCCACCGATGAAATCAGGGTGATTCGTGTTGATGTACGCCAACTCAATCCGAATGAGGTTCTGTATCATTGCTTGCGTTGGAACTAATGAAGCTCGCAGCATGCCATTGACCACTTCCATAACACGGTCGCGCAGCTCAGGAAAACGCGTCAGCTCAATTGTCTCACACTGTGACGTCACTCGCTGTAGCTCGTCAAACACGAGATCCACACACTGCAAACCGGGTTGTTCCAAGCGACTAATCTGACGTTTTGCTAGCAATTCAAACGATACTTCTGGAACAAACAGCGACTGGCGCGGGCCGTTGGCATTTCGGATGGTTGTTCGGATATCTTCGTCACTAAGTCCGTCAAACGGATTCACCTCACGCAAAGACTTGGAAAAGATCTCATTAAAAATGTAATTGATGCGTGCGCCGCCATAAAGCTCGTCCATCTCAACGAGCTGGTGGTTGCGTCCGTCCAGTGAGTTAGTAAAATTGCTCGAAAAATGTGACAGCAGGTTAAGCAGACAGCCGCCCATTTCCGTGGCCGTCATTCGTTCCGTAGGAGACCCCATCTCACCAAGCTCTTGATCAAGATCATTAACCATCGTGCTGATCTTTGATTTAATGTCTGGAAGACAATCCCGAATGTGATGCATCAGGATCGTATTGAGCGTCTTGGACAAATACTGGGTTCCCATCCTCGATGCAATGGCTCGATATGCTGGATGCGTTTTAAAAAAGGTTTGCTCTTTTCGCAAAGAATCACGAATCGACAGCTGCGCATTAATGTCCGCTTGACTGCGGTTTACAACACCTACATACCCTCTTTTAAGTGGAATCACACGTCCCTGAAGCATATCCATCGCATCAGTACCAGCATCCATAAGATCCAGCTTGGTAAGTACTCCAATGGTACGTTGTCCATCTGGATCAATCTCCCGTGCCATTTTAAGTGCATCACTATTAGCCAAGTCCGTATTAGCCGATGTAACGGCTAGAATAATGGAATTTGGATTTGAAATAAACTCAATACACATATCTCGAATCTGTTCTTCAATATTCACAGGTTGATCTCCCACAGGTACTTTTGTAATACCTGGTAAATCCACAAGCGTTAGATTCAAAACATAAGGAGAAAAGACCTTAAGATTAATACTTTTGTTACTAATTCCTTTGTTTTTTCCTGTAAGACGATCCGTTTCTTTTTCAATTTCTTGTCGAATTTCATTAAAATCCGTAAATTTTTGGCCTGGAAGATGAAGAAATTCACCCCATTCTTCACTACGTAAAGTCTCCTCATGATTTTCTACCACGCCATTCGTCGACGAATTGTATAACTGTAAAATAAGAGGACGACGTGTTACAATTCCTGAACCTCGTGGTAAAAAGTCTTTTCCAACAATATTTTCAAGTACGGACGATTTGCCACTACTTTGACTACCAATAACTACAATCTGTGGTAAGTTAATAGGTGATTGACCAATTGCATTAAACACATCTTGTAACTTGTTTATAATAGGGATCAATTGGTCCATGATAATGAGGATAGAGAGATAAAGATCAAACAAATCACCAAATGCGTAGAAGAGAGAGAGAGAGAGAAAAGAGTGGGAATTCCAGTAGCTTTTTCTCTCTTTTCTGCTTATGTCTGAGTCTGATTTATTATAATTATTATGAGGTGGGAGGGAGGGGAGAAGAGTGTGTACCACATCAACTTGATAATGTGACGTCATTTAAAAGAGGGAATACTAGTGCCCACCAAAATATGACACAACGTTTGACCCAGTCAAAAAATCCGCATGAACGTTAAAACTACAGCGCAGTGGCGAGATTTGCACTTGTTACATGTACATCGTGACACGTTACAGTGTGCATTCAATCGATGTATTGCCTGTTGTTACAAGATTGTACTGTATAGTCGTCCAGGATTGTTACCGAATGTGCGTCCAGAAATGTGTCTACGAATGGCAAAAGCTAAAGCACAGTCGCTAACTGAAATTTCTACATATTGGATTGGTCTCTACGATGCAGTACAAGTGAAGCGAATTTTGACAGTAGGAGACGGCAATTTCTCGTTTTCTTTGTCACTTGCAAGATCGTTATGTCCAGAGTCAGGTGTACAGCTTGTTGTCACGTCGCACGAGAGTAAGACGACAGTCCTGGAGACGTATCCAGACGGTGAAAAGATTCTTGACGAGCTAAATGCCATGAGCAATGTGACGGTAAAACATGAAGTTGATGCTACAGATGCTGAGATGATAAAGACTTTGGGACACTTTGATCGCGTTATTTGGAACTTTCCGTGCGTTCGAGCACCACGAGGAGAGGATGGACAAAACGAGGCGATGGAGATGAACAAGAAGCTTTTGCACGAGTTTTTTTCTCATGTGGGTCAAGTACTGACATCTTGTGGTGAAGTACATGTCACACATAAGACCAAGGCGCCATTTGGTCAATGGGGCATTGACAACATTGCCAAGACCAATAAATTTTATCACAAACTCTCCGTCGTTTTTGATCGATGTTTGTACCCGGGATACACGAACAAAAAGGTGCTCTCAAAGGGCTCATTTCCTATCTGGGATTCACAGACTTTTATATTCGTTCCTGAAGAACGGACGCAAGTTCCAGCTGACGTCGCTATACCTGACAATGAGAAAAGCGACATTAGACTGATCGAGATAGTGACCATGGATATTCTCAAGAAAGTGTACATACTGCTTACACCCTCGTTAGACGAAACGCTGGGCTCCAGGAAGAAGAGAGGGGGATTCAGTGACAAGGGTGGTCGAAGCAGCAACAGCTACAAGGATGTCATTCGCAACCGTACAGACAGCAGAAAGGATCAAAAGCGTAAACGGCTTGCTTCTGATGGTCTAAACGGGTGCAAGCAACTGGGTAAGAAGAAAGGCCGCCGGTCATGATGGTAAGAGGTGAGAATGTGCGTATTAAACAGAAATTTTGTCTTTCTCGTATTTACACTCACTTTAAACCGTTGTTGGCGTGCCTGACCTACACGAGATCCAAATCCTTTTGTACCTTTGGTATCGCTGTTGGATCTTCGTCGCTGCACGCTCGAGCGTGTGCACTCCGATCAATACAAAGAGCCGATCGCTGTTGAGGATCTTGAGATCGGCTTTTGGGGTCGTAATAACAATGGGCAGTTTAACATGGCTCGACGATCTAGTTGTTTGAGTCGACATACGATAAATAGCCATACAAATACCAGAGTACGATGATGCAGCAAACCATTGAAAGACATCTGAGTAGGTGCATTCCTTCTACAAAATAAAAAAGCAGCCCGCACGTTATGGACAATATCAAAAAAAAATCATGGCGCAAGTTTATAACTTACTCGAAGCAGACGAGGAACTGAGAAACTATGAACCAGGCCTGTACAACGAGGGCCTCCTACTAATTGACGAACAATCTTGTGGATTGATGGATTAAAGTACGTCTGTACAACCATGTTTTCGCATAGCTCTGGGTGTAGTATGCGACCCGACATGTATAAAGGGAGACCAAAGATCGTGTTTTCAGACTTTTGCACCGAAGCGTCATGCTGTAGAATGTTGTTCCACAACTTCAATATTTTCATACCCGAAGCATCCGCTGCAATACTTCTACTTGGGCTGTCAATGGTTGACATCGCAGGTTTTAGCTTATCGAGCTGATATGACATGCCGATAAACTTTGAGTTGGCTTCGTCGACAAGCTCGGTTACAGTAAAAATCTTTGAATAATCCATTTTTAGTTCCACCAACATCGTCGCAAATATTGCCTCCGTATCGGCAATGCTGGATTCCAGCTCAGAGTCGATGGCGAATTCGGATGTACTGCTCTTTTTTGCCCGTTTTCCAAGCACCACAACTGCAGCTGCTGCCTTTGCACCAGCACGTTGCAAGTCTGAATACACGAGAGGACTTCCACGCACGTAATACTGGACCAAAGCGATGAAGTTTGGGTTATAAGAAGCTATACGTGCAGGCAAATCGTAACTACACATACCACATTTTTGAAGGCGGACAAAGTTTGCATCAAAATATCTGATGGCTCCGCAGTATCCAATATTGTGATCGGGGGATGACTGCTGGCGTATGGGCTACGGAGAGGTAAGATAAGCCATCGCAGACTTTCTAAGGATTCTTCACCCAAAAAACTGCATACCGTGATGTGTTTAGGGTGTAAGAGGACTGCGAGTGATGGTGCACTGAGCACGTTCTGTGACACCGAAGTGTTTGAATTTTTCACCATTGAACCGCACAAACTGGTGTCAAGCTGAGGATTTTCGTATGGATTACCGCTCGTTATCGTTTGGCTGGAATTCTTGAATCGCAGCGCAATAGTCTCGAGCGAGCGGTCCTGTAGTGCAAACGCATGCAGCAAAAGTTAGCAAGTCGCAATGCTTACTCTACAAAGAAAAAATGTCATCTTCGCACCAGTACAAGCAATCCAGTACGCGACGATAAGATCTGCTACAGAAGTATACGATCAAATGATGAATAACTTGCTAGCAAAAACGCAATCTAAGAACTTACTGGCTTGTGGTGCTTCATAGGCTTGTAATTTGGGGTTTTGTACGCTGTGTACGCAGTGAGACTTCTTAGCTCATCACATGAAAATTCGTCTTCACTAACAGAAGAAAGTATGGGCTGAGACGCGTCTCCAATTGGGTTCATGAACGTTGAAATGTTGCGCGACTGCCGTGTCTCTTCCAAACCGACCTCCTCGGAGCAAATTTTGAAGCTAACGACGTGATCAAGGTCGTCAGCAATACAATAACACTTAGTCCACTCGGACAAAAGCAAACTGCCGCCAGGATTCAACAACACGCGGGATTCGTAGCCGTTGCAAAAAGAATCCTCTTCATCCGATAACATAACTTCCACGCCGATAAGCAGTACAGTGCCCGACGTTTCTTGAAAAATTCGTAATGCCGCTTGGGAAAAGGTTAGTCCAGCGTACCTCTGGTAGCAAAACAGACACGAAATAACCAACGTCAGTATTTCACTATATGCTGAGAGCCGAGTCTTACAAAGGACACACCTTGGACAAATGGATAAGGTACATCTCCTTTGCTGCACCGGCGTAGTACTCTTTGATCCAACTGCGCTCGATCAATTCATTTTCGACGACACCAGTTGTCAGAGAAGGTGAAGTCTCATTTGTGTCTTCACTCGTGACAACAGAGAGGCTTGCAGCCAAGTTCGACAGCATTGTCGAAATACCGTTCGAGACAGTGTTTTGAGCTAACGAGCCCATTTTAATAACATTCTCGCAAATGATATCGTCCGGGTGTACACCAGCAGCTACCATGTGTCGAGCACTCTCAGCACGGAGCACCATCACTAAAATGCGCACAGACATTCTGCAAAGTAGCAAAAAAGTTAGCTATGCAAGTTGCAAACAGCCATACTGGTACCATTTCACCGAAACTCACCCAACGTAGCGCTTAGTTGCGAGCACACGCATTATATTCATTGCATCTTCCGTCATGGCGTTGCCAGTCAGCTTGTCTGGAAACACAAACACCGCTTTGGCATCACGAGCAAGGGACCGCTCTAGATCTTCAGAACGAGTAGCATCGCCAGCAACATATGTTACGCGTGATACGAAAATGGGGTCAGCTTTTAGCTTTGCGATAAGTAAATTCGTGAATTTAGCATTCTGATTTCCAAGCACAACAGCTTGGAGCTGTTGCGTGTCAGCACCACTTAAGTGATCAGCATGGAATAGCTCGCGGAGAATGGCAGAGAGTTGGGCAAATGATGGGTTGCCGATTATGAGCACATGCTTGGAGTCAGGCTTGGGGGCATACGGAGGGTTGCCAATTTGACGCAGCTTGTACAAGCTGATGAGATTTTCGATCTCCATTGAAAACAAAATGATACCGATGACGATAAACATGATGGCCAAAAGACGGCTGGGAACTGTTTGAGGTGCGTTGTCACCATAGCCGACCGTACCAAGTGTCTGCAAGAAATGTTAGCGATCATATCGCAAAGGTTAGCAAAGCAGATATCTCGATCAGCAGATACCAGTTTCAGCCGACTTACCACAACAGTAAAATAAAATGCAAACATGACGGACCACGTAGAATCTGAGCACTCCAAAGACTTGCGTCTAGTGACTGACCCATCACTACAGCTATACAAATGGGCAAACCCATTGTCCGTGAAAAGTGGCAGTTCTCCAAGGGTCTCCAAGAAGAACATAATCGACGCACCGACCATGATCATCAGCAATATCTTGATGCCAAGTCGAACCATCATCCAGCCTTTTGTCGATCTAGGCACGTGTTTTTCCATCTCCAAGTAGCTCCTCAAAATGAAGACTGAGCGCATGACCGAAAAGTCCAAGTACGCACGTGTCTGCACGCCTCGAATGATCTTGACAGAGCCAAAGCCCACGCCAAAATTCGACGCTTGACAGAGTAGTTCCAGAAGCGTGACGGGTGAGAAACAAAAGAGAATTTTGTACCGAGACGCAAGGAAGCGCACCACGTCGTCCACAAAGGCGATCGCGTAAAGCCCTAACACTGTGTAGTAAGACCACTCAGTGACACCGTACGAGTCGAGCCTGGACATGGTGAGACCCAGGATGGCACATGACACGAGCAACTGAACGGGTCGATTCTGTTCAAACGCGTCAAGGTCATAACCAAATCAGTATAGTAAGTATAATTACATACAAAACATATTTTTCCTTACAATAATAGCAGCTACACGCGACGTGCGTGCCCACCGGCGGCATTTAAGCGAGAAACCGAGCTCGCCCTTACGCAGTGACTTGCGCTGGCGGCGCGAAGCGACTGTCCAGATCACTGAAAGAATCAATAGAATCACCAGGAGATAGATTGCGTAAAGCATTTGCTCCTGTGTATGGGTCCAGTCAGCGACACAACGAGGTGTACTAGTAGTTACATGAACTTGTTCATTTTGATTTACACAAATTAGTTTCATGGCGAGATGTAAAATGAGTTTCACCATAGGTTAAAGGTAAAAGCAGACGGGGAGGAGGAGGAGATAAGGTGTGATGGACTACAATACATGTTTGTCTTTTCTGATTACGTGTTTAAATAGAGAGAGACAAGAGACAAGTCATCAAAATTGGGTTGCAAGAAAAAAGTCTTATAGCAAATTATCAATCGATCGAACACCTACAGCAGGACTAATGCATATTATTGTTATTACATACTATTGTGATGAATGAATACACAGGAATGGGAAAATCATACAAATGTAGCGTTGAGACAGGTCAAGCCGCAAACACAAAAAAGTTCACACTTGGTTTAAAGTCGCCATGATCGTGTCATTTCTTATTCCGTCGTACGACTTCTGCTTACCCAAGGCCCAGATGGTAGGCATACTATATGATCCAACGGTGATATAAATACAGCAAAAGTGAGCCGCGATAAACTACATGTAAAGGCGTCATTCATAGTGAATGATCCAGAACAACTTTGACTATTCCAGCACTAACTCCACTACATACGGCACGTCGTAGTTTCAGCAATGCGCTAGGATAGCAAAAAAGATTAAATGATCATGGATCGAAAACTAATGGCTCCGATCCATCCATCTTATTCAAGGCATGACTCCAAGTATCATGTACTGTACATAACATTTTGCAAAATTTAAAGTTTAAATATTATGAAAATTTCAATTTTACACGACAAAAAAAATGACGCCAAGTGGTGGAATCAAACGATCAAGGGATGAAAAGGATGAGACGTCTATCGTAAAGCGCGTTCGCTTTGCACATTCCGTCTCTTCTACCTCATCTATCTATCTGTCTATTGGTATGTACTATGCTAACCCTTGACTTGTTCTTTATATACGCAAATGACTCACTAATCGTTGCAGCAACCAATGTCGATCAAGTTGAAGCGCAGAAACTCAAGTGGTTTGGCCCTACATTCACGTACCATACGTTTGGTATTGATGAAGTCATTAATGGATATAAGGAGCTTAATATCTTTGTGACGTTTAATGGGTTTGACTTTCAAGCTTTATTAGACGTCAAGTATAAGGAAAAAGAAGATACGTAAGGGGTGCACGCACTGAATTAGACGTTCGCAGCTCATTTTGGTTGCTAATCTTTTCATTGAGTATGATTGAAGTGCAGATGACGTCGTGTCAAAGATGCTATCGTCACTACCACATGATGTTTACTTGAGCAAAGATGAGTTTGCAGTGGCGCTGAGCAAGGCAGCAGCTGACTTTACTTGTCCTCCTGGGAATTGCATTGAGACGTACGCTACGGAAACAGTCATACAAGATGGTGAAGAACAATTAGCCGATAAACGATATTTTGAGATTTATGAGTGTAAGCTAGACGGTAATGAGCCAGCTCAGAAACTGCTTGCCAACTTGCAGACACTTTCGTTGTGGTTCATTGAAGGTTTGTCTTTTCATCGATTGCAACCTTACGAGTGCTCAAACGTTTCTAATGATATTTGTCATGATAGGAGCGGACGCGGTGGATGTAACTGATCCACGATGGGTACTTTACTTGACCTATGAGCGAACGAAGGATGGCAGCGGACCTTTTTGCCCAGTGGGATTCATTACTGTCTTTAAATTTTGCAGTCCTCTTGGACGAAAGGCTGCGTACTGCAAGTCAGATCAGAATAAAACGCGCCGTATTTGTCAAGCTCTTGTCTTTCCGACATACCAGCGCCAAGGTAAATTGATACTTTGTGAGCACTTTGTGTGAAGATTTTTATCTAAGATGTAACGTGACGTATAGGCCATGCTGAACGCCTTGTGCATTGTATTCATGCGCAAGCAATGTCAAATAGTGGCGTGTACGAACTAACTGTAGAAGACCCGGTGCCAGGTTTTTCTTGTGTACGTAGATACCCTGCAAGTGGTTTTTTATCTATCAACCTCAATTGCTTTAATGGTTTTGACGGACAGCTTCGAGACCTTGTTGATCTAAAAAACTGCGTGAAACATGATTTTTTTTGCCTTGCGCCGGAACAAAGTACAGATGCAGGTGGAACTGGTCGAGGTACGGCCACATTAACGATTGCTGATATCCACGCCGTGCAAAGGATACTAAAGCTCACGCGCAAACAAGTGCAGACGTGCTATGAAGCCCGCAAGCTCATGTTTGTAGACTTAAACGACGAGATACAGCGGAAAAAGTATCGTCTTGAAGTAAAGAAGCGACTATATCGAATGTACACGGAAGAACTGGATGGCATGAGTGACGCGGAATGTCGTAAAGCGTTTCTCGAGACGGAGTATAAGCGTCTAGAAGGACATTATCAACAAATGGCTTTAAAACTTACTTAAGTATCTAATAAACGCTCGTCGATGGAATTACTTATGAACCAATCATATCAATGCGATACAGAATTAGATTGGTCACTACGTACTAAAAACAGACGACACTAAAACATGAGTGGTAATTTAGACCCAACACTGCAGTATCAAGTAATAGAGCGTATTGGTGGTGGTGCATTTGGGGAAGTATTTAAGGGGATTCATATACAAACAAATGAAGTCGTTGCCATAAAAATCGTCGACCTTGAGTCCGCAGCTGATGAGATTGAGGATGTCCAGCAGGTGAAGCTGCTATCTCTATTTTTTTGTGTGTGTTGAATGAATGATTCTTGCTATTGAAATGACACAATCGATTGCTCTATTGTTGAGTAGGAAATCCATGTATTATCACAGTGTTCGTGTGATCAGCTGACAATGTACTCGGGTTCTTTTATTGCAGGGACAAAATTATGGTCGGTCTTTTAGTTGTTGTTGGTGGTGGTAGAAAGGTCTTTTTGAATGTGATAATGATGACAGATCTAGATTCAAAAACTGATAGTTTGGAGCTGATGTAATCATGATTGTTGTAGGATTATCATGGAGTTTCTATCTGGTGGCTCAGTGCTGGACATTATGCGAAATGGTCCTTTGGATGAAGCATTCATTGCTATTATTTTATGTGAATTACTAAAGGGTCTTGAGTATCTGCACTCGGAGAAGAAGATCCATCGTGATATAAAAGCTGCAAATGTCTTGCTAAGTGGAGACGGTCATGTGAAACTTGCCGATTTTGGTGTCACAGGTCAAATTACAGAGACAATGACGAAGCGCAATACAGCAGTGGGCACTCCATTTTGGATGGCACCTGAAGTCATTCAAGAGTCAGAGTACGACTTTAAGGCAGATATTTGGTCACTGGGTATTACTGCGATTGAGATGGCAAAAGGTACACCTCCACTTGCTGAGTACGTAGTGTTTGTTCTCTTTCGTCATGTATTGTGGACCAAAGTGACGTGTTTTTATTGAATTCTGAATAGTATTCACCCGATGAAAGTGCTTTTCATGATTCCGACGATGGACCCGCCCACGTTGGAAGGCAGCTTTTCGCCACGATTTACAGATTTTGTGTCTTGCTGCTTGCAAAAGCCCCCACGCGATCGACCGACTGCATCCGAGCTTCTACAGCACCCGTTCATTCGCTCTGCTAAGCACATCTCACATCTCACAAAACTTTTGGATCGAAACCAATTACAAAATTTACAGCAAGATGGACGCGAAAAGGCTCACAAGGTGAAGAAAGTGGTTTAAACCATATCAGCACAGATAACAATTATCTTTGTCCGCGGAGTGGCGGTCGTGATGATACGTTGCCGATGGCATACGGTCAACGTGATAGCGGCAAAGGCCATATTCGAGATGCGTCAGTGGGAAGCGGGTGGGATTTTAATACCATCCGGTTATCGTCTACTAGTGTTCAACAGGAGTTAAAAGCTCAAGCTTCTGCGGCTGCGGCCGCCGCAGAAGCTGCAGATGCTGGTCAAAGCGATCATGGCATTTGTGCGGCGGAAAGAGAAAACAAAAATTCATCAGTCGTATTGGTGTCTTCTTGTACGTCACCACTTCATGAGGTGGAGAACGAGGACGAAGGCGAAGAGGACGAGGCATTTGAAAGTATTGTAAAACCCGCGATCAGTGAAGTGCTGGAGCGCGTTCTTCATTCGCCTAGTATAGGGTTCATGACGCCAATTCATCGTGATGCTGCAGAGGCTGCTACGGAGATGCAAGAAGACCTCCTCTTTGAGCTGCTGCACGTGTTTGATAATGTAAGTCAACAGAAAGGTCTACTACGGCAAGTGCTGCGGAGCTTAGCCGACTACACAAACGCAAAAATGCCCTCCTCCAGCGCAAATGCAAACGGTACCACAGGAAACACATTGTCACAGACATTATAATTGTTGGCCTTAGTTGCCAGAATGCAAAGCCTGCCAACATCTATTTGGCTTGGCCATCTCATTGCTTTCTTTTACCTAAGTTTTCTCTATTAACATATTCCATGATCGTCAGAAGCTGAAAGCTCGTACGATTCTTCTCGCCGTTTAGTAGCCTATATGGACCGTAATGAAACTGTGAAGTCTTAGCAGGTACATTCAGAGCCCTTCCGATAGTATCGCATCCAAGACACAATGCAGCTACAGATGGCAATGCCGATCTTAAGGTTGGTGGGTATGTCAATATGTCAAAAAGAGTGACGTAATCGTCACCATTATAGTCACCGACTAGCAGCAATTTATTCTTCCAGGGTCAGTCATCCAGCTTTCCGTTTAGGTCCGTGTACTGGAACCACGACGCATCAGAACTTCACCGGGCTTCAAGTATATCTATTGTGCTACACGCCAGTCCTTTGGAATGTTAAAAAAGCATTGTTCTTTGCAAGACGACAGCTGCGGCGGCTTAAGGATATCGTGTAAGCTTTAGAACTTGAACGAGAATGAGCGGTGTCATACAATCCCATGGTGAGCAGCGGCAATTTCTGTTGTGTTCAGAAAAAGTCGACTTGCAGCAGTATTGCACAAGGATAAAACACGGAACGACTGTGAAGACAAGAGATTTCTGCAGTAAAAGCTGCCAGTCATTGATTGCCGCCAGTACATGCTTATTAACATTTCTCTCCACGATGCTGTGAGGCTCTACGAGCTTTGCATATGTCTGCACTCGTGTCAGTGGCAATAGTGCGAGACCCAATGGTACGCGCGTATAGATTCGCAAAGTAGCGGAACATGATGCAAGCACCATGAATGTCTCTTCGTGGCATTGGACCACGTCGCCATGGTACACACAATGGGCACAGCAACAACCATGCTCAAGCGTAACGGAATTAAAGTGACGTGGTTAGCAAAGAAAAGATATGTAGTATTTAGTATTGCCGGAACGAGCCATTGACACTGTATGATCGACCTTTTACGGTGCGCGTTTCATCACAAGTTCAAATGGCTGCAAAATGATGTCTTGGTGTTCGGACTTACCACATTATAAAACCAGTGTTAGATTATTGTAAACCTCGAAACCTCGAAGCACCACACCCGAGCTCACAAGACTGCTTCAATTTGCCAGTTAGACAAACAAGCTGACTGCTTAGTCGCTTCACCGACTTCACTCCGTGTTTGTAGTGTCAAAGCGATGCGTTGGAAAGCATGCCGCAACATAATGATTCAACACTGCAATTTTACACCCACGTATCAACGACATTACGGTTCTTCAGTGATAGTCAGCGCAAGCGCAATCTGAGCATGGTATTCGTGATACATTTAACTAGGTCGCTACAACGAAATGCTATGAACTTTGATGGTTTCAGAAAATGTCACGAAATTCTATAAATAGGCTTAGAGGCTTCGGTATCAGGATAATTGGCAATAATTCTGATAGTAAGACGAAGCAAAAACAATACTAAGAATACATATGAATAACAAATCAAGAACGAGGTATGAAGTAAGACCATCTGTTATTGCAAATTCCTAAGGATAGATAAATACAAATATTATTGTGTCCAACTCGGCTCACATAATGGTCCATACTCTGGCATATTCAGCTGAAGCGTGGTCACACGAGAGGAATGTTCGATGACTAAACACACTTTCCATTGAGTCATGCGTATTGATCCATGCAGCTGTCTCCCAAACAATATACACATCCAGGGGACAGTTGTCTTGCTGCAAATATTTCTGACCCTGATTCGCGATAAGTTCGTGTGGGGGCTCAGCAAGACGGATTTTGGCGAAACACCCGACACAGTAGCTACGTTGCTGGATTTACGGAGTCCGCTGGTCTGGCCATGCAGAGCGATCGCTATTACGACCGGAAAGATGAAAGTGAGACGCATCAGGTACTGGGTTCGTTAAAATCAAAGGACGAAAGCGTTGTAGCATTGTAGTTTGCTTAGTGTGATTAATGCAAATTCAAGAATGAAAAAGTATTTGTGGAAACACATTGCGTTAGTTTTTCCAGAAGTTTGCACCAGTCCACAAACGCTTATGTTATTCCACGGATGATGATGTCATTTCACGAATGATGATGTCATTCCACGAACGTCTTTGCCCTTTTACAAAATCATGTATTCTGTGACCGAAAATTAGACCCACTGAATGTATACTCAAATGAAGAATAAAACAAAAATTAATGATATGAATACTGAAATGAAGAATAGAACAAAAATAAATGATATGTATACTAAGGCGTGTGACGCATTCGGCTCCCGCTGGCACTTCCAACAAGTAATCAATACCAAAAGTATTAATCTATATCTGATAGCTAGTTGGCTAGCGCAATGAAGCCCATCCTACCTGAGCACTTGCGTGGCGTGGTTACAACCCTAGAAAACAATCTAGGAATTGGCAAGCGAACCCACGGCGCTTAATGAGTTTAGTTACAGTTCGCGCTTTTCGTGTAATTATGTAGCTGATGTAGTTATAGAGGCATGTATGTTATCATTTATTTACAGATGAAAGAACAATTACTTTATCTATAGTCAAATACGACTAGCATGTAGCTGCACTACATTATAAACTTACCATATATAAATCTCATGAATCCTAGCTGTATCCTATAGATATATGCAGCACTTGCTATATTATACGTGCCGAATATGGAAGATGAGGATGTACTACTTATAGTGGCTCAGTACCGTCGTCAATGCTTTTTTTTGGTTACTGAGTGCCCATCTCAGAAGAATGATGGCGTTCGTGCGTAATCATGTGCACGTGATATAGATAAACAAATACTAAATCTACACGTCTTATTGGTCAAAATCAGCACCATGAGAGTAGACTTTCGATTTGTTCTTGTGGTAAACATCATGTTTGGTGGACAAGGATACGGAGGGTACCATGTACCATCAATATCACCCAATACCGGTTTAGCCATTAAAGGTCTGCGGAGTAATCGGGCGCTAGGGGCATACGGCGAAGCTTCAGGCACAAGTGGTTCCCGGGGTAAGCTAACCGCTATGACGCTCCGACGACAAGTGGAAATGGTCGGTTCTTTAATAGGGAGAGTCCCCGTTGCTACTTGTCCGCCATTCTGCGCTAAATGAACCCTCGTTGACGACTCCGGAACCCATCTCGTGGCCAAGCACGACAGCAGAAGCACGTCATGTAAGGGTTTACGTGACAGTCAAATGAATACACCGCGGCGTGGTTTAGGTGGATGAAGAGGGGGCATGCATCGCACAGTCAGATGAACGTTACACCACAAGATCGCGAGATCACCAATTCCAGTTGCGCTATCGATTACAAGCTGGGTTCATATTTTTGCGCCTCTTCCTTGGCGACCTACCAATGTCTAGCGCCGAGTAGTGTGCTTTCTTTATGGCTAGAGACGAGCGCCTCGCAGTTTGTGGAAAGAGCCTGCATGGATCCTGCCTGCACCTGCAGGATTCCATCCCTCCGAGAGCGGGCGAGGATCATTTGTGGACGTGTACTCTGCAGTCCTCTTAGGGCACATTCTCGTGGACGACAACACGTGGATCTAAGGCCAAGGATTCGCCAAGCTGAGGCCGAGACATTACGTCTGGGTTGCTGAGGCTCCATAAACGCTTTCAGCATCCGGCGAACGGAGCTGATGGAATATCTCTTCACGTTTTTTGCCGTCTTCCCGAAACCACTTACTGTCAAGTTGCAACGCTGGGGGTTTGCCTTCTCTATCCTCGCCACACCTCGATGTTGGGACTTATCTTGACGAAGCTGGTGCCCTAACGCTTCGACAGCATCCGCCGTTCAAGCAAGCGTTCCAGTGGCGGGTCACCGCACCTCCCTAGGCGTGATTGAAGGGAGCCCGCTACGACAGCGCTCTTCAGCCTGACGCAGGCCAGCACTGGGATTGAATGGAAATGTAACGGGGACATACCATCGGTAGAGGTAGAGCCTGACGAATTCTGCCATTTATCCCCAATCTAAGGACACTGGACTCATATTTGAAGAACATCCAAGTATCGACGGGTTTCCTTAAGCCGTGACTCGGACGGCTTCAAACGTGGTTCTACCGCAACTGACTGGCGTATGTCCATTGCAAACAGAACTTGGTCAAACCTTGATGGCGACTACTCACGGTCTTGCAACCAAGGTAGTAGCTACTAGCTGGCAGCATTGCCATTGGCTCGATCGCACCTTCCGCTCCGCACGGCGATGTATACTCTCGCTTGGCGGTTCAATACACGTCCTCTGCTAAAAATAAGCATCAACACTTGACCACTCCTGCGCCGTGAAAAGGGAGATGAAGGCTCAGAAAAGGCGGCGTTACATGGAAATGAGCTGAAAGAGAATATGTACGTCATGGACCAACACGGAGGCAATCATACTGGCAGCGAGGACGAGTTTAGCTATGATCCACTCCTCGGTGGAGACAGCCTCATCAAGCAGGTTCATGACGACTATCAGGAGCGCTTAGCCCAGCGGAATGTTGATGCCTGAGAGCTGTTCAGACAGCCTGTTTGTGAATAAACTAGCATGTGCCGCATTCATAACCAAAGCGTTAAGATAGAAGATGAACAGAGAACATAGATAGCGAGCAATCAAATAAACGTCAATAAGGCTTGAAAATGCAACTACAGTAAACTCAAGCTGAAATGCAGTGAATAAGTGGAAACTCAATGTGCGATAGACTCATGCACTGTTCAGTATCTCTTGTCTGATGGAAAGATACTGCTGGTACGTAAGCTTGTGGATTGAGCTGCGGTAGCGTGTGACGCGGACAGTTTTCAGCATCGCTTCGGTGATACTATGGCGATATCCTGCTTTTCTCATAAGTGACGTGACTGTCTCAACATGAGTCCAGCCTTGTTCACGAGCAACTTGCGGCAAGTACGTGGCGTTGTACTCGTTTCCACGCAAGTCACTGAACTTGATGATGATCCCGTGCGTGCCAATCTGTTGCAGCAAAACGAGTAGCAACCGGTGAACAGACGAAAGAGGATTACAGTCGCTGGATGTGAGGCTTACTAAACATCAAGATGTGCTCACCTCCCAGTCGTCATAGCTCTCAACGTCCTGAAAGTCGACGAGGAGCGATACAGTGCAGTGTAGACGTTGCAGCTCCTGCGGCCCGATGGGGGCAAAACGGCTGTCACGCAGCGCGCTCTTGAGGGTGAAATCGCGCAGGTTACGCAGACTCGTGGGTGCTAGCGTTCCAATCAGCCGCGCAAGCGAGTCCCACCGTGCTCCTCGATCTCCCACGTCACGAATAACGGACTGTCAAATGTCAGTGAAAAGATTAATGCAAGCGAATCATAAGAGACCGGGCAGAGACGGAAACGGTAAAACGAGACGCATACCATTCCTGCTCCACGTTAAAGCAAGGCGTGGGCTCTATGTTGCCATTGAAGCGTGACTGGAGCACGTCAAAGCAGTATACGACCATCGCAGCAATAGCCATTTTTTTTCTGGCTTGCTTTGGATTTTTGGGTCTGAGTATCTGACAAACGCCCTTCAGGGTCACGGGCGGTAGTAAACTCGTTGGAGGACAAGAAATAGAGCGTCATGTGTGCTGTGTCATCTTTGCTAAAGGAGAGAAATATCTTGGTACAGAGAGATCAATAGGCATCTGCTATCAGACTTCCTTATAATGTCGATTGTATCTTCAGCACTTCGAGATACCTGACTTAGAAAACATCCTGCATACAGAATGGGCAATGTACTTTTATATCGAAAGCTGCAGAGCATATTGAGATACAGTAAGTAGGAGCTGCGTCGACTTCAAATTTGCTGACTTTAATGAGCTGACCAGAGACTCCATTCACATTGACGTATTTGTCTTACGTAGATGCGTATGACAATTCCGAGAGTAGGTGGCGAAGTCTGCAAATTTATTTGTCACAAGTCGACATGTTCCTTAGATTATCAAATGGATATGGAAGAATGAAAGGTTGAGAAAGAAAACGAAAGGAGCGCAGCAAACACCATGATTTATCTCACCTTTGCAATACGATTCAAAAGTACACATGGTGCGCCGCTTTGACGAACTGCGATGCGACTGAAGGCCGACGGTGATCTACGATCGATCACAATGCTCTTGCGCTCTGTTATATTCATAGAACTTCGCTGCGCACTTTTGCGGTAACATTCGGTCGATCATTTCCAAGCACCCTGATTTGTCTTGGAAATTGTCCGCATTGATTTAAAGCCCAGAGAACTTGTGCGTTTGCTAATTAGCGGAGTCTCATTTGTGCTGGTATCATTGCTTGATGTGTTGCTAGGCGTCAAACGTGATCCTGCTGACCTGCGAGCAACCGTGTGCGTTTTTGTGACGCAACTAGCACCAGGCACGTGTGCGCATACGCTATCGGTATCATGCTGGGTACCGGAAGAGCTTGCAGACCGGGTACTTTTCGACTTCTTCATCGGTGGCGACGACATCGGCAACCGCGGAATGAGTGACGACGTGCTTCGTCGCCTGGCTTCTGTTAACAATTGTCGTAGTTTTTTGATCTCATCTTCGCGCTCATGCAGCAGTTTTTGCTGTGTCTCTTGCTGCGATGAAGAAATGCGCGTCTTGGCGTTTTGCTGTCGAAGCGAGCGTTGAGCAGCTTCCCGTTGATCTGCCTCATGTTGTTTAGTCTCTCGCTCAGCCTTAAGCTGATTACTTACATCTTCCACAAGTCGTTTCAGGGATTCGTTTTGAGTTTTCAGGCTCTCGTTTTGCGTCTCCCATGCCCTAAGCCGGTTCTGCAGCATAGCAGACTGTTTCTCCGACAGATTCTTTTGGTCGCGTTTCTGAAGGAGAGGAGGCATCGGAACCATGACGTGAGAACAAATGCCTCCTCGAATTTAAAGCAGACCGACAGCGACTTACCAGAGCAACAACAGACTGTTGTGATTGCATATACTTCCTCTTCGAGATTTGCATCTGCTGTTTTAACGACTGGAGCTCTGCAAATGCCTTCTTGGCTGACAGAATATCCTTCTTGTTCTTCACAATCTGATTTCTGCCCACCACAATATTGCGCACGCGTTCTGCGAGCTGCAGCGACCGAAATGTCTCGCTAGCATTCTCAATGGTCGGACCGACGTTAACAATCATCACTGTCTTGCACGATGAGTTTAATACATCCTGCAGCAAATGCGTCAGCTTCGAGTTGCGGTACGGAATGTGAGCCATCTTCTTATCCAAAGCCTCCATGACATCAGCTAAGGCTGACAAAGACTTGTTAATATGGGCAGCCTCCCGGAGCATATCTCCGCTCACATTGCTTTTCTTGACTCGCTCCGAGCCGGCTAGATCCACAAGATACAGCTTTCCACATGCTTCATCTTCGACATCCAAGTCAGCGAAGTCTTTATCAGCATCATCATGTTCCAGCCGCCGCTTCGAGATTTGCACAATTACAATACTGTGCGATCGACTACTGTGCATATTTGAATTTGTTTTACCTGTGACACGGTTCGTTTGCGCAATCCGTAATACATCTATTGTTTGCTGAGGAGAAGAGACAGTCGACATAGTCAGATCAGGAACACATATATCTCCAGTTGCCGAATCGTGACAAATTTCCAGTGCCTTGTTTGTCGTGTTAATCAAGTCACGCACTGAGTCATTGTAGATTTCCAACACGCCCACTTGAACGTGATAGACTGATGATTCGGCTGCATTGTGCAAACCGTTCATCTCATCGTCTTGATTCTCAGAAGTGTCAGAATTGGGAGCATAAATCGCCCCACGTAACTGGATTGACTGAAAAACGTGACTAATGACCTTATAGTTTAGACCAGGATCACTAGGCGTACCTTCCATAGTATACGTTTTACCCGAGCCAGTTTGCCCGTACGCAAAAATGCATGCCTTGAACCCGTCGACAACTGACTGCGCAATCGGCTCCACTTCACGGAAAACATCATTTTGTGTCTCTTCAGGACCCAGAATTCGATCAAACGTAAACACTTTCCATGAGCTGTTGTTTGCTAAGGTTTCCATGTTTTCGTTGCTGGTTGTCTTCCCATTTGAGTCGCTAGGCATCAAACGATCAGACCGAAAATCCATGGCAGCCAAATCTGACTGATTTACGACGTTGACTGCCAACTTCGAACCCCAAGATCTCTCCAGCTCTTCATTAATGATCGGCCGTACACGACAGAACACTTGGATGTTACCACATACAGTCTGCAGACGTGAAAGTAGCGAAGCATTGCGGGTTCGTTCCGCAAGATACTTTCGCGCAAGCTGCTCGGGCGTAAAGTTTACTTGCAGCACGTCAGCTGATACCCGCTTCGCAGGAACCATACTCGCAGGCATTCCCTCTTGACTTCTTAGTCGCGCATTCTCTGCGGATAAAGAATTTAAAGACACGCGCATCGTTTGAATTTCTACCATCAGTCGTCTTGATTCGGTCACATCCGAGACAGATGCCGCACCAGAAACGGTTGACGCACGCTTTAACTCCGATATCTTCTTATTTGCGTCATCAAGCTGTTTCTGAAGATCTGAAATCAGGCTTTTCAGTTCTTCTACTTCCCTGCGATTCTGCGATAATTCACCCTTATCAAACTGCAACTTTCTCTCGAGCTCGTTCCGCTCTTGCTTGCTTTCCTCCAGGCTTCTTGTATAAGTCGCTATCTGTTCCTTTAACTCATCTACAGTTTCGCTTTCTTGTGCAAGACGAGATTTTAGTTGGCGTTCACTCTCAGCCAGGTCATCATACTGCAACTTGACGGTGTCCAGCTCTTCCTTAATACTGTTGATTTCCTTGTCCTTACTTTCTAGCTCAGTCCGCATGTTTTCACGCTCATCTGCAAACTCAATGCCCCCATCATTGAGCGTCGCCATTTCAGATTGAAGCTTCAACAACGACTCCCGCAACGCTTCAATTTGTTCGTCGCGACCACGCATTTCTTGAGACTTTGCAATCAATTCGTCTGTCATGTCCGTCATTTCCGCCTCCATGGCTTCCATATGGGCAAGACTTTCATGAAGTTGCTGCACCTGAGCTTCAACCGCAATGCGAGTTTCCGTCTCATCCTGCAAACTAGACGATAGAGCCTCAATCTCCTCTTTCAGCGACTCAATCAGTGCTTCACGACTGATTTCATCACGTTCATGCACCGTTGTATGCCGCACTGACTTTTCGTTGTAGCTCGAGTCGTATCCATCGTCATCATCTTCCGACTGACTACGCGTCGTGGCCATGCTATCGTTTCCTGAAAACGATCCACGGGATTCTGACGCCGTCGTAGTATCCTCATATTTTTGCTGAAGAGCAAATAACTCCGACTTGAGGTCCATTATCTCCGTTCGGAAGCGCTCCGTGGCCATTTCGTGCTCGTGTTCTAGCTCTTCTTTATCACTTAGTAAAAACACCTTTTCTTCCAATTCTCGCTCCATTTTGTGTCTCAGATCCGACTCAGTAGCCTGAAGCACACGCACTTGCGTTTCCAAGTCATCAGCCTGTTGCTCTAACTTGCGTCGAGCTTGTATAGCCGTCTGAAGCTCAATACGTGTTGCTTGTAATTCTGCTTCATATTTGTGTGTTTGGTCCAACGCTTCCTCCAATTTACTGCGTGCAAGGTGTAAATCCCGTTCTAAATACTGATTTTTATTCATCAAATGAATATTTCGTTTCTCCATGCGTGAAAGCTCTTGCTCTAGTTCCTGTTCTAGTTCATGACTGGACTGTGTATATTGATCAAATTCATCCTGCATATGTTTCAGTTCTTGTGATTTCTTACGTATTTCTTCACGAAGTAACAAGACATTATTATCTTCATCTTCTAATCTACTTTCCATTGACTAAAATTGTAAGAAATGACTACAGAGGAAGTATATTTAGAAATAAGATTGCGTCTCCTTAGAAACAAAGATAATAACGAGAAAAAGCGTTTTCTACCTGAATAAAATCACTGGAGAAAATGAATGAACCGGGGAACAAACCAAGGTTTTTTCTTCTTCTTCTTCTGAACTGTGGTTTCATGTTACTTCAAACAACTACTTTTATAACAATTGGTTAGTTAAGCTCGAACTCAGATCGTGAGGTTTTCATTGGTTACATTATAAGCGATCTAACCCACTACTTAACTAACATATCTTTGATATCTATAATGTATGTCTGGACCCTCGTGCATTTCGAGACTAGCATTAAAGCCAATAAGTTGTTCACATAGTAGAAGAAATGCGTACTACTATGATACTAACTGTGCTATTGGACATTATTGTAATGGTAATAGCTCATCCGTATGAAGGTTGGGCACCGCATCGTTACTGCAATTCCTTAGACAACATTGAGACAACACGCATCCCACCACTTACGTCCAAGCAGGCAAAAGTCGTAGAGTCTTTGGAACAAGTTCAGATTATTGCACGACATGGAGCACGAGTTCCCTATGCGAGACTCTTTTGTTGGGATTCACGCAAGCATAATCCAATGAATGCCGAATGGGACTGCACTACCCTTTCTGTTTCGGTAGGCGGGTGTCTCAAAATCGGCTTTGACTTTACGATATAGAACTCATTGTGAACGATGCTGACAATTTGTATGGCCTTTTCTTTCACAGTCACAGGACCTTAATGTTTCAGAACAATCAAAGGGATTTGGTCGCTTGTACCGCAAGCAATACATTGATGGACATAATATTCTCAAGGGAGACTGCATTGTTGGTGGACTGCTCGAATTGGGGCGTCAGCAACACAAGAAAAATGGAGAGTTCGTAACTAATTGTATGAGGTACACGATTGTTGGATTGCAATCACTTACAACCATACTGTAGGTTTTTGCGTGACGCGTACGTGGGTGACGGCTCACTAAAGCTATTCCCCACTGCCAACTTGTTGGTATGTTGACCAGATATACTGCTGTATACGATCATCATGAATGCAGTTCCTCTTACTAACCTTACCTCTGTTCAATGCATTATACGTGGCAACAAGGACCTCAATCTGTCGGATATCTATCTCCGAAGTGATGACCAAGAGAGAACGCTAGGATCAGGTCAAGCGCTGATTGACGGACTCTTTCCGGTTGACAGTGCCCCACCACTTGAGCTTCACCGCATGCTATCATGGAATGTTGCAGACATTTCGGTTGACTACATCAGTCCAAACGATAATATTTGCCCAATCATGTCACACATTAAACAGGCCTCCAACGAGAGTCCTGCGTTTCGGAATCACCTTGAAAACCCTGCTACTGTCGATATCGAGCATCATTTTAATGATATTGTCGGTGGTTTCTCCTGGAACACAGTACTAGAGTGCCTAAGTACGGCGCGCTGCAATAACCTCGAGCTACCAGATGGAGTGGATGAAGAGACGTTTATCAAGACTTACCACGAAGTTGAAGTGCGCGAAGGTATATTTCTGACCTACAATGATTCGTGGTACGCAAAAATTGCGATGCAACCGCTAGTCCACGACATGGTCACTCGGCTCAATGGCGTATTGAACGGTGACCCGGACGCGTACAAGCTTTCTATAACGATGGGTAATCATGTGCTTATGTTAGGTTATAGTGTCTTCTGTTTATTGTGATTAAAGTGCTCTTGTGTGTCTTACAGCTCATGATTCAACTATCATGCCATTCCTGGCTGCAACCGTGAAGGAGAACTGGGACCGCATGTGGACTCCATACGCAGGCATGCTGGTGCTTGAGGTTTACAAGACTAAGAGTGGATCGCATGCAGCTCGAATGATTTTCCATGGAGATCCTCTACTGTTACCTGATTGCCGTGACAGTACGTACTCGAAGTACAATATCGATTTTGTGTCTTTGTTGAGATTCTGTTTGGAGCTTGTGCTCACTTTGTCAATTTTATGGTTTTTGCCGCTGCAGCTCTGTGTGACATTGAAGAGCTCTCCAAGGCATTTGCATTTGCGCACAATCCGCGCACTGAGCACGATTGCAAGCTGCCCGATATGGAAAACAAAAGCAAAACGCCATCGTCAAGTTTAAGTACGATGGCCGATGACCAGGACCATTTCCGTGCGTCCGACTACATTGGAAGTTACTTACTGTTAGGCCTAGTGGCTATTGCTGGATTGCTTGTATTGCGTCAGCGTAATCGACAAGAGGAAGTGCGTAGTGCTGATGAAGGTATTTCTCTCCTGTCTTAAAAATGGGCCATACAAAGTAGCAGTTTAAACTACTTTTTAACCTTGTTGAAAGCAAAATAACACGCACTTTACATGAGTTGTGAAAAGTATTCGCAGCTTATATTTTGCAATAACGTCAAATTTACCATACAAGGTGGTACCAAGTTTAACATCTCAAAGAAAGTGGTTGACATGTTGGCAACGCGAGTCCTTCGCCGCCGTTGCCCTTGCGTATATGATGCATTAACACTGCATAGTACTTTATATTCTGCATTTAGAGTAGATAGATGCAATCTTCAGTTGAAGAAACGTTTTCTGACTAATGGTATGGACGCTTTTATGGAATTTGAGCGAGAGATGGCAAGGAAGCGCCAACAAAAGATGAACGCAAGTGTATACGACGATCTAGTGCGTATGTATTACTGGTAGACAATGCTACTGGTCTTCCATTGAGTTCTTGTGTCTGTATTTCTTCTATATTGCACGCTTAGCCAAAAACAATTGCGCCGGGAGGTCGTCTGACACCTCCAGTGAAGCCGGATGACGACGAGTGCTGCCATTTAGACTGTCCTAATTGCGTACTCGTGGTCTATCAGGTTTGTTGGTTTGTTGTTCAGTAGGTGAAAAAGCAAGCGTCTTGAATGTAGCCAACTGATGGGTGGTTGTAGGAACAATTGCTAGAATACGAGCTGAGTTTGCAGAGCCTGAATAGAAGACAAAAGCCGACGACTCCTTCGCCTGTCTACGACTTGTCATTTTACTCGAGCAAAGACGATGAAAAAGAATCAAGCATAAGACAAATGCTTCAGATGGAAATGAATCGTGCAGTGTATGAGGTCGCAAGCAACGATGTGATCACTGCACCACACCAGACGGCGGACGGAGCGTGGCGGTCGGTGCGTCATATTGACCTCCGCATTCGTGACGACCAACAGGAACAAGTTGGTGAACAAGTATCTAATATTGGTGTATACGTTCCAAACGATCTGCCAGTGGTAGAGCGCATGCTCGTTCATTTGCATGTACAAGACCCAGGCGCACTTTACACTGCTAAGCTGATTGTCGACTCCGAGCAGCAATCATCGCACCAGCATCAATCGCTCCACGAGCGTCCGTTTGCTCATGTTGGAACTGTTCGTGATGCCCTCACATGGAACTTTGACCTCATTTCAGCTCCACGTCCCAGATTTCTACGGATTCTTGCTGCATATGCGTCCGACGACAACGACGTTGCTGCATTAATGGCTCCGCAAACAGCAGAAGCTATTCAATACGAACGGTATGCGAGTTTTGAAACTGAAAGATGTCCTAACGCTTGCTCACTATGTACACACGCAGACCGCACCAACACGTTACCATGGCAGACATTTTCGATCGCTTCCCGTCGGTTCGACTAAGCTTCGCAGATTTTTTTCAGATTGTGCCGCCAAATTCTCCACGGTATTACACCATCTCTTCGTCACGAAAGTTCATTCCCAATGTAGTCTCGATCACGCTTGGTCTTCGTAAGAAGGACGTACTACCGATGCCGCGATGTTCCAGCTACCTTGCGATGCTAAAGCCGGGCGAAGCCATACGCGCATCGTTCTACCAGTCATCTCTGGTGTTTCCATTCCACGACCACCGTCCTCTCATGCTTATCAGTGCAGGCACCGGAATTGCGCCATTCCGAGCGTTTTTACAGGATCTCGAGCATGAAGACGAGACATTGCCGCACCGACACCGACCAACCTATCTCTTTTATGGTTGCCGTGCAGCAAGCGTAGATTTCTTGTATGGTGAAGAGTTGCAACGTGCGCAGGAGTCCGGTGTGCTAGACCAATTGCACGTAACGTTTTCTGATGACAGCGACCAACCAAAGCGGGTACGTATTGTGTTGTTCGTTGTCTTTGCAGATGTGGACGCTGCTTGATACATTGCATTGTTTTGATAGTATGTCCAGGATGCATTGATCGAACATAGCGAGCTCGTGGCACGGCATCTGCTTGTAGACGAAGGCTACACCTACGTGTGTGGTAGTTTGGCCATGGGCCGTGCCGTGAAGAAAGCCATTGCTGGGGCTATCCTGCGGCACACTGAGTATTCTGGCGGAAAAATTGCGACGCAAGAAGACGCTGAGCGCGTTGTGACGCAGAAGCTAGCGGGGCATTTAATTATTGCAGAGCTCTGGTAGTCGCGAAGGTTGACCGTTCGATCGGTCGTTATTCTTGTCTGGAGACTAGCGATCTGGTCGGCCTCTTCTTTGCAGGTGAAGTTGATGAAGCCAGCGTCTGTCTCACGTGAGATATTCGCACAAGGCCACCTCGACCACAAGTCATAATAGATAGCATGTTTTTTGCTCAGAATCGTCACCCACTGGTCGGTCCTTGTCATCATCCTTTCCTTCCCGGCAACTCTTTATATGATCCAAACGACGACATTGAAGGCGCGTACGCTCGCTTTGCTGCTAATTGAAAATTTCTTTTGCAAACGCATTTCTCTGATACGGTCGGTGGATCCGTCTCACGAAAAGTCAGTCATTTTAGACGTGGTTAGGTGTATAAGCTTTTTTTGAAAGAAAATAAACTTATTCTTTTATCTAATTGTTGCTATTTTGTGCTGCTTAAGTTATAACTGTTATGTTGTGAAGATAGTATCTCTGTATGATGGTGACACATTCTAGTAGTCTAGGTTTGATTGCCTAGAATCAAGTCAATTTTTTTGCTAGCCACGTCATTCACGTGCGTAAAAGAAACCTCTTGTATTTTTCCTACCATAATCTTGCCGATCCTGCGTAATCAGTTTCTACAACAACATACACGATAAATCCAATCCAAAACTTTTCTCGACTCAGTTATCCGTCGAAAGTTTAGAATGAGGAATGGTACCGTGGAAAAGTAACGTCTTGACCTTTCTTTAATGAATAGAAGGGTACAGCTCTTCCCACACCGTATACTGTACATTTATGATTAGATTCTTACATAACGGTAGCATTTAATATCACCAACAAAGTATACCAAATTAGATAATAAGCCCATTTATTAAAATGCGAATCTTATAATGTTACCTCACACGACCGTCGCGTCATAAAACCTTCAATTCTCTGGTTAGCAAATCCCATTTCATTGTCATCTCGTGGTTTAAAGTGAACATGCCACACACGTGGCACGTGTGTCCTGACGACGTCAGGTCCCGGTTGATTACAATTTTTGCCGTGTAGCGACTCGGCGGACAGAACCTTAAGCGCATGATTTTGATTGGCCAACTTTTCGGCATAACATGCGTTCGCACTCGCGTAAAACAGAATCTGCGCATGTCTTTTCTCATCACATAAATCATGCGTTTCGTAAACATTATTAAAAAATAAATACAACTGCTTTTTTTCTCAGCTGGACTTTACTTCTCCTTAGCCACATGTAGAGTCATAGTAATAAATAGTGGTTGGCAACGCACGAAGCAAAAACGTATTCGTTCCACAATACCCCACCCACTTTGTATATAAGAATGATCTTTATCGAAGCCTTCACGATTTGATATCGTTTCAATTAGATAAATTTGGGCAACATTAGAAAAAAGAGAAGTCGATAAAATAGGGTGAAAGGATTGTTCGGATTCGACCCCTTCCCCTCTTGAGCAGGGCGCTGGACGCGTCGTCACGAGTAACAGAAGGCAGCTGAGGTAGGCGCTACTTGTGGGTTTCGTTGACAGATCATTCTCCAAGTTACAGCGACCAAGAATGATTACGGTCATGTCTATAAGTAGCACTCCAAGCGATGCCCAATGCAGGACTACGTCTAAGAAAACACAGCTTCACAAACGTCTGCGCGCTTGTCTTCCGCACTTTCACACGACAGAGACGGAAACAAGTGGACATGAAGTGCAAGAAATGGAGTTTGCCGTGAAGACACCGTCCTCACCTGCAAGTATGTCGACGCCCAGTCGCCGTCTAGACATCGATAGTACGAACCGTTCCTGGTCTGTCAAAGAGGATGTGCCTTTCTTTTCGATCAAGGCCAGCCAATGTCAGCGCAAACGCCGCCAACATAGCTCGTCTCCATGCGCGTCTCTTTATTCTGCGTCCTCTTCATCCTCAACGTCGTCTACGTTCTCAGTAGCCAAAAAGGGTGTCACATACGGTCAAAACGGTACACTAATGTCCTGCCGCTTTTGCAACATTTTAGAGTCTGGCGACGAGGTTTTTCTATACGAGGACGAAGATGTAGTCGTCTTTCGACCCCTGGCCCCCGTGGTGTCAAGCCACATCCTAGTGGTACCGCGTCGTCACATTCGTAACGTGAACAAACTGACATTGGAGGATACGACGCTGCTACATCGTATGCGCGAGGTCGCTACAATGGTGCTTCGGGAAATGCCACGCCCTTCAGTGATGCCAGATCTTTTGAAGGCGGAGCGAGTTGATGATGCTGCAGAAGATTGCACCGACGAGGAAGGTGCTGAATCGGATTACAAGTTTGCGTTCCACTCACCACCATTCAACAGCATTGACCATGTCCACATGCACGCGTTCCGCACGCGCGACGGACGTTTTGGCTGTGTCGGATCTATCAAGTACCGCACTGAAACTTGGTGGTGCCGCTCATTCGACGAGGTCATGACCCGTCTGGGTCTTAGAAACTGCAAGCAGCGTAATAACGAGGAAAGAGTGGAGTCGATCACGCAAAAGAAAGAGCACAGACGAAGGCATCACGTCAGCCACCCACTCCGTGATAGTACCAACGAATCGATGATATTGACGGCGGTCGAGAGTCTAGGCTAAGTAAAGAGTGAGTACGAGTATTTAACAAGATGGAGAACACCATCAATAATCAGCATATTTGGACCGAACGAAGGTCTGCATCTAATTGCTATTTGTAAAAGTCAAGATGCTGTCGGTTCAGAGAGCTCACATCTTTGAGCACTACCTACTTGTGTTACGCACGTTAGCGCCCTCTGTTATCTAGAAGACCTTCCTGCTCACCAGCTGCCAATCCAGCATGCCATGCCCTTTTAATAGACTTAAAAATGAAGATACAATTGATGGGTTATGTTACTGTGTTCAGCAGGACTGTAGTGTAGTGCTTCTTGTTCATGAATGCTCCCAAGGTCTTTACCGCCCCAGCATAAACAGCATTTACATCCTCAATGCTACCTTGTTCAACAGCAGCTTCCAGCAACATCGAAAAGCACGGGACTGGTAGCACGTAGTTATCATGATGATCTTCTACAGCCTGATGATAACCCCGAAGCGCAGAGAGCTTCATGCATTTCCAATCATCGCTATTGTTCACGCTCACGCCCATACCTCCGCACATCACTGGTATCACCAAGCGCAGAATAGCCTTACTAGGTGCTATACTACGCCTAATCATGTCGTTCCACACCAGCATAAAGTCATCGGCTGTGTACAGCTTGCCATCATTACCAGTGGTCTTGGTCATGGTGCTAAACATATTTTCGTATTCGCTTGATCGAATCGGTATTTCATTCGACTCAAGATGATCTAGCGCATCCACAACCATGCCAAGCTCTTTCGAATCCAAAAAGATTCGCAGCGCGTTGCGCACTGCACGTCCTGGATCAAAACGAAACGCACCGGAATTCTTTAGCACTCGCATATAATCGTTTTGATGCCTTGCACTAGTTGTTATATCCTTCAACGCTCCTGCAATTTGCTCAGACACCTGCATCAGCAACACAAATGCAGCACATTGATGCCATTAACACACGGCTCATAGCGAGAGGCAAAAGCTCGACTAGTTGCAAATACATGATAACATTTAAATGTAGTGCATGACATGTTTGAAGTCTATCGATATTAACATAACGAGCTGTCGATGACTGTCGAGTCACAGCCACGGAGCTCATTGTCAGTCGCCGCCACATGACAGCTTGGAAGAATTTCATCACAAATTTCAACTACAGTCATCAGCAGATTGAAAGTGGTGTATCCATCTATTCACTTAGCAGTAAGTTCATATTGCATAAAGCAAGAGACTAACTACTCGTTCATTGACTGCTTATTCTCCTTGCGCTGCCTCGTTGTAGCACTCATACTCGTGGCAATCTCGTCCATGACCTCCTTTCCCAATAGTGTCGTCATCTGATCACGCAGTACAAGCGCCTGTTTCCAAAGCCCACCCTTTTCGCACGCCTTAAGAGCAACAGTGTACATGGTTCTCACCTTTCGGAACGCGTGCGAATCGCCGCGCTGGCGACGAACATAGGCTTCTTCCAGGTTGCCTGATCCATCTGCAGCAGGAGCCACTTCCTTTAGGTTACCCCTCTCGAAAATTCGAATGATATCCAGCGCCTTCTCTGCAAGATCCTTCTGTCGGGCCAAATGCACCAACTCGTAGGCGTCAGACAGCCTTATAATAAACTCCCGTTCTTCCATAAGCGCCACCATACTGTCAACGACATCCAGTTTCTGGGCTTCTAAGGCTCCTCTCAGCACTGAGACTACAGCTCGAAGCGTGAAGCCACCACACATTTCAAGCATCTGCTTCGTCAGCTGCTCGGCCTCTTCCACGTTGCCTTCCTCGGCAAGCTTTTCAATTAGGATTGTCATCCAACTGCGTGGCACACCAAACGCTTCCTTTTTTGTCTAAGAAGCTCACAGCTTCATCATACAGCTGCCTTACATCTGACACAGTACCCTCCTTTGCTGTAAATGCTAGAAGCGTTTCGTAACACATATGCGGCAAGATGTAGCAATCGTTAGGGTCACTCTGAGCCTCAGTAAAAGCCTCTAGCAGCTCCAACCGCTGCTGCTTTGTTTTTGCTTCCCTATAAGCAGGACACAAATAGCCCACAATCGCCCTGTTTACTTTCAAACCACGGTTCTTCAGGTCCCCCAACACTATCTGGAAACTGGAGATATCGTACACCACTTTTGGATTCGTGATATCCTTATTTGAGTTCTGCAAGAACTTCCGCATCGAGCTAAGAATCGTGACATAAGTAGATTGTACAGCATGCACTCCCCGACTTTCCATCATGTTTAAGGTATCCAGAGCATCAGCCATCCTGCCATCTTCCGCCAGCGTCTGCATGACCAAGTCAACGACCTTGCCGATGTTAAGAGTCACATAACGGGGCTTTCTAGCATCTTCGTCCCCAGCAAGGATGTCCGCATTCCTGCCATCCTTGCCCCAATACGAAGCTAGCACCTGGTTGAATAGCTCTAGAGCGGCATCAGAATCGTGAAAGCGACGGAAAAGCACCAGCGCGTCATGCACGCGGTAAATTCGAATGCCTTGAAAAAGCATTGCCTTGCTGGCAGCATAGCTAAGCTCATCACCCGTCTTCGTTCTATCCTTCGTGTAGTGCGTAAAAACTTCACCCAAAGCATGCGCATACTTGCCATGCACCAAGGAAAAACCCTTGACCACACCAGCTACCTTGTCAGATTGCTCCGTCTTGATATACGCTTGCACAACGTCTTTCGCCACACTTGAGCTCACAATCAATGCTCCTTTAGGAATTTCGCCTTCAAAGTCTTCGGGCAGTTGCGACTCATCAACAGATTTTACAATAGAGTCTACATACGCAGCTGCCTCACTATACTTTCCCTGTGCAAGCAATTCACGAATGCGCGGGCTTATGGTATAGCCGGCAGCTCTGCTCTTGTTAGGACTGGCAACAAAGTTTGTATCCTGAAGGAACTGAGCGTTGCGCTCAATAATCTGGTGCGTTTTGGTGTCGAACTGAATATTTTTTTTGACCATCTCCTCCAGAATATCCTTAATCTCGTCGTTGCGCTCCAGAAATTCCAGTGTCATCATGATACGGTTGTAACCACGTGCATCAAGACGCAAATCAAACTTTTTGCGGTTCGCCAAAATATCCGAAGCCTGTTGCTTGCAATCGTTGTTAATGCAAACACTAAGCAGAGCAATTAACGTACCACCGTTCAGCTTCATACTTGAGTTGCTATAGAATTCGAAGGACTTTGCCGGCTGTTTGATGATGCCCATGCTGAGGATGATGCGATCAATGCACGATTCGTGCCAATGGCCGATCTGGGGGTCCACAGACTCATAGAGCTCTTGCACCTTCTCTACGTCACCATGGCGTGCATACGCCATCATGAGTCGTGACGTGATTTCGTTCGTCGTCTCATGGCCAGCATCTGCCATTTCTTGCCAAATCTTAAGGGCTGACTCCATGTCGTTGTTCTGCAAATATCCTACAATACCGAAGCGGTAGATCATTTCAGGCACCGCCTTGAAATGCGGCTTGGATGTCTCATAAATCTCGATGAGGCGCTTGGGGTTGTTCTTGCGGGCGATAATGCGGAACACTTCACCATATACGGCAAAGTTGATGTGTGACGGAAACTTGGTCTCGAGAAAGTTGAAAGCGTTCAGCATGACGGATACCGCACGTGTCTTCTGAGCTGCAGTGAACAGATCGATAATCTCTTCACTCGTCACATCCTCGCGAGCAATGGCTTCGGCCAGCATTAACTCAAGTGCTTTCGCTACGCTTCCAGTCCTCGATTTGCCTAATTTCTCGCACACGTCGCGGGCCGAACAAGTAAGCAGTAAGTCACGATCGACGCCGGCGATACTCGTAAAGTACCAGTTGACGCTGCCCAGGTGCTGTGGCACGCTGGCAACAGGCGTTCGAGCAATCTTGCATCTCAGCTGGTGGAATGCTACAGCTCGACATGCGCGCCACATGGTTCAATTGTATTGGCGAGCGATAACAGATGCAAACTAACAATGTCTGGAATCGCCTTAAGCTTTAATGTGCTTTCCGGTGGTGGTCAGTGAGTGAGTGGTCTGTATTTTCATTCCCAGTGAGCTCGAATTTGTGTATACCACAAGACCTCCAGGTGTAAAGGTTATGTGGTTTACATGAACTAGATAGGCTAGTATGGAAAAGCTAACATTGCATCAATCATGCAACTTTGTGCAAAGTGTCGGTTATTGTGGCCAATTACTCTATGACTTTTTCCGCTTCTTACATGTCTGACTGTCGAGGTCAATGAATTTCTATTTGCACAGCCAAACGAAGCTTAACGGGCTCTGGTGCATGATTTATATATATGTAAATTTCTTAGGAATCTACTGAGTACATACGCAGATGCGAAGGAATCATCCAGGTAAGTAGAAACAGGAGTGGAATGAAAGCAAAAAGGTTCGCATACACGTTACATCGCCGCACTCACGCTATTAGCCTACTATTACTCTGTCAAAATTCACAGTAGGTAAACGTATCTGTTCTACCTCGCCAGTCTCATCGTTAGCACAGACAGCCCTACGCACTCTTGGTACTACTGGGTGCGGCACGTCCTTGTATTGTGTTCTTGCTGTTATCTAAGCCCGCTCGTTTTTCTTCTCATCACACTGCTCTTGTCGGCAGCAGCATGTTTGCAGCGCAGAGCAATGGCTGCTTTTATCAATCAGCGGTTCCTCCACACAACGTTGGCACTTTCTTCTTGTCCCTTCTACACTTAGATAGAAAAAGACGACCTTGACCAAGACTCTACGCACTTGAGTCGGAAACGCTGGTGATCTCGTCGGTGTGATGCGCGCCACCACGCAGCTTCTGTTCGGCCACATCACGCACCGGCTGAAAGTACGCGTGCTGCATGGCCTCCTTTGCTGTTAGTCGTTCTTGGTGGTCATAACGCAGCAGTCCATCCAGAAAATCAATGGCTTCGGCAGACACCAAATGTTTGTTGTCTTGTGTGACAAACTTTTCCCACGGCTTTTTCGTATGCGTGCCTAAAATACCATCGTACTGCGGGTCGAGCTCCAGATCGTACGTCGTGAGGTAATCGAATAGCTCATCTGTACCCTTTACCTTGGCGATCTTCACCAACTGGTCGCAATTGTCATGGCCATGAAAAAATGGCTCTTTGCGAAAGATCATTGCCGCAAACATACACCCAAGACTCCACATGTCTAATGAGTAATCATACTCCTGCATATCCACTAACAGCTCTGGTCCCTTAAAATATCGACTAGCAACACGCACGTTGTATTCACGACCTGGGTGGTAGAATTCGGCGAGACCCCAATCAATCAGACGCAATTGGCGTTTCTCGTGATCAATCATGACATTGTGCGGCTTAACATCACGATGCATGATGCCATTCGAATGGCAATAGTCCAAGGCCTTCAGCAGCTCGAACAAGTAATAGCGAATATCGAAATCACTTAGTGTCGGGTAGAGTGTCTTGAAGTCTGTGTTATTCACATACTCGGTCACCAAGCTTGGGGTCTTGGACTGTGGGTCTCGCACTACATCCAGCAGCTGAATAATGTTTACGCCACCCGACAGGTTTTGCAAGATCTTGATCTCACTTCAAAACGTTCACAACAAGCATTACAAAAATACACAAGAAAGGGTAAGTTGTTTTCTCTTCATCCCCAGCTAACTACAGCTTAACATGCCTACCGTTTGATTTTTTTTCTTCTTCACCGGTTTGAGGATCTTAATGACGCAGCGAGAGTTACTGGCTACATTGTAGCCCTCAAATACTTCACTATACTTGCCACGGCCGATCTTACGGATCACCTCGTAGTTGTCTTGGTCCCTGTGTATTCACAACAATGTCGTCTGTAAGTCTTTTTTAAACAACAAGAGAGTGACAACTTGTATATAATTGGATGATACATATACATATCTCGCTTCATGCATGAGATTAAACTCTTCACCCCCCCCTCCTCTTTCTCGATCAAAAGATTTTAATAGGGGGCAGCAGAGAATAAAATCAGGTCGAAGGAGAAAAAGAAAGGACAAACGTACCCCCAAGCTACATTAAGTGTCTCGTAGTCCCAGTACTCGCGCGGGCGCGTCTCATTCACGTCGCAATACACACGCGCACGACTCATAGCCACCTCCTCCTCGGTTTACTGCCTTCTTTTTTAACCTGTGGCTTGATTTTTGAAAGGCCACGACGAGTTTGTAAACAGCTTACAAAGATCAGGTGAAATAGGACGACTAGGAGTTTGTAAGATCTAGTTTCCCCTTTTCTGACAACTGTTTCCTCCTAACTTGCAACAAAAAGAATTCAAATTAAACCATTATTCAAACAATCTAAAACATAGCAAAATGAACTTATATGAGTCTTAAGTATTCTTCCATAAGCTCACTTTCTAGCTTTTTGTACGTTGTTTGATTCTTACAAAGCAGCTTTTTGGTAGCAAATTGTTAGTTATGGTGATGAATGTAATTGAGAACTATTGAACTTCTGAAATCCTGATCACAAACATGCGCAAATTTCTTGTTCCTCTCTGTCTACATCTTGTTGTTAAACTTACCTTGCACACTAGCAAAACTCTTACGGCATAAAAAGCAAATTTGTGGCTAAGCTTGCTATCTTAAATCATCCACAAACACTTCTGCGTAGATGTGTCAGCGGCGGTCATTCTGCAACATTCTTCCTGCCCGCGCTTTCGTCAATGACATCCGGCATCTGAGCACATCGTGTGATTGAAGCCTTAAGCGCTTTTGTCAAAAATACATTAACGGTATAGCAGAGCTTCCGTAGCAAAGCTACTCAAGCACTAAGTGCAGAGGAAGATAAGCTCAAAATGCTTTACGTCTTGGGCTTCTTAACCCGTTCAAATCTATCGTTACACGCTTGTGCCATTTGGTTTCAATAGCCACGTCTCCCAAAGACCATATCTGGGATACACTTTCTTTCTTTGAAAGACTAATGCTCTAGCACGTATGGTACTTAAAGCAGGTTTGAAATTGATTTATTTAATGTTTATTTTCTAGCACTGAATATAGAACCACCTACTCTATACTTTGTGCATATTCCCTATATATCAAGCCCTGTAGCCACCTAATATGTAAACATAGATTTTTTCAAAATACTTGTGGTGAAGTGGGTTCTCAAAACTGCGTAATAAGATCCCCAACCTACTTACTGTGCCGGACTGCGACCGTCGGAAGGGCTGCCCCAATGCCGCGTATAGACCTTCTCTCACCTTGTGTACCCGTCGGCTGGCGGGTTGCCCTCTTCGGAGAACTTGGTTGAGATGTGGTGTCAGCCTTGATAGAGGTCGACCTTGGGGTGCCTCGAGTGGATATACTTCACTCGGTAGGCGGGTAGGTGGCCACTCGGTCGACTAGGTCGAGGTTGGACTTATAGTCAAATTTTTCAGGGGAGATTCTCAACCCTGGCCTTTTACTTCCTTGATATCTCAGGGGTGCTAATCGCCTGGCCTTTACTTGCTCCCGAACCGCTAGGGTAGGGAGACCGCTTCCGACAGCGGGCAAATTGGGAGGTGCTACTCCGACGAACCCACAGGCCAAATATACCCTGGAGTTCTATTCGCACTTCACAAATCATCCCCATATTTTGCCACATATGTGAGTTATCCTCCAAATAGTTTTACCTATTTTTCAATCTGTTCATAGTTAGATCACTCAGTTTAGGGTCTTATTTATATAACTAGTTATCAAAGCTTGTTAAATCTTGATTTCTCTATGCCTACTTTATTAAATTAAGCTTGCTATTAAAATAAACTTGCTGGCCCATTATGCAAAAGGTACACTGTTACTTTTTAAAAAAGTTTCATAAAGTAAAAAGTTGGAACAAGGGAAACTGTACAAAAAATAGTTAGAGCTCCTACAGGACGGGTCTTACCATACAGTGTCTTCCACGTGGGCCAAAATGTATCCCTTCCCGGAACAGGTGGGTAGACCTAGTAAGTACCTTGGAAGCACGACGAAGGTGTGCTATGTAGATCAAAAATTGAGTAGCGTTTAATATAGTCCTATCTTTTCACTTCTTTACTCTATCTTACCCCGAGACCTGATTCTTGATTCTGCTTGGCTACAGTGTATCGACCGAAGGCCCGAGTGTCCATCGACCGAGGGGCCTAGGAGTCCGTCGACCGAAAGGCCAAGGTCTATCGGCTAATTGCCGAGGTTCAATGATGAAGGACCAAGATCGACCTTCAGGGACCGAAGGGCCAAGTTCTATCGACTAAGGACCGAGGCTCATTAATGAAGGACCAAGGTCGACCATCAGGAACCGAAGGGTCCAGAGTCCATCGACATAAGGAACGAGGTCTACTAAACAAAGGAACAAAGTAGACCTCTAGGGAACGGAGCCAAGATTCCACCGACCGAAGGGCCGAGGTCTATCTTGATGAAAGTCCGAGGTCTACCAATGATAGACCAGGGTCGAACTTGAAGGATCGGGGTCCGCCGTGAGGAACTGCGGTCCATCGGGCTAGCCGCGGTTAACTCCTTTAATGGCTGCCAACTAGCACGCTGTGACCGTGCATTCTTCTCATCCAACGGTTGTTCTCCGTCCCCTTTAGCGCCTCGTCTCTCTGTCCCTTACCCAACAACCCTCTTCCTTGGCAAGTACCTTTTCTCTTTGACCCACTGGCACTCTGACCTCTAAGTTCTTGAAACGCTTCACCACATACTTAAACTAAGTATAACGACCACGTGGCTCTCTGCCAGGATGCGGTATGGTCACATCAATTCACCAGTGCACCTAAAGTATAGCCACACCACAATGGTGTGGCAGGTGTGTATGTACAATACACACCTTTGCGTAACTCCGTTACACCCTTTTTACGCTTAATAATCAATTGTTCGTAAATACTAAGTGCTTTGAAAGCAATTGCTAGGCAAGTAACGTTTATAAGCAAGTGTCGTGACACTAGGGTGCTTAAAAAGCGCAAGCACAACGTACAGATGC